TTTATATAAGTTCCCAAAAAGGATGAGAAAAAATTGACGTATCATTGGAGACATCCGATGCCAACATTAGGCGTATCCAGTGTCGTTTCAACGTGATGCAGTAACTAGTAGATATGCATTTTTTTTTAATATTACGCTAAAGTTATTCGTTACATCGGATAAAAACGTAGATAACGTTGTTACTATTAACATATACTTTAAAGAATGCTCAATATTTTTTAAATATTTTGAACAAATCGCTTAATAACCTGTGGGCGAAAAAAATCGATTATAAAAGAGCAATTAAACATATAAAAATGAAAGAATTGTACTCTTTTGCTGATTTAATAAATTCATAATTTTGTAGTTTACCTATTGCATTATTCTTTGAAGTCTAATCTGATTTTTTTGTTCAAATATTTAATTAAATTTAAAGTTGAACTTTACTTGAACGTTTACGTATTCAGAAAATTGACACATAGTAATGTTAATATCTGTACCTACGTTAAAGATTAGAATAAATAAATTTTTACTATCATCATAAAAGATTTGTATTTTGTTTCTGAAATAATATGTCACTACAGTTAACATTGGTATGTAGTAAAAGCTAAATTTAATAACAAATTAACTACAACGTAAAAACGTTTTTCGTCGACCACTTATTAATGTGAATATTAATGAATTTTTTTTTCCGAAAAAAGGATGCGTTAATGGACGTCATTAACGATCTCTTTTTCATTAACGCACTCTTTTTGAGTTCGTCATTTTCACGGTTTTAAAACGTTGTGATCTGTCATGATGTTAGACAACCAGATATACTCTTTTATTTTTCTTTTAATTTTACTCATTTTACAAGAAACTTTTACAATTAATGAAATATTGTTATAACATATATGCATTTTCGGAGGTGTTTGAGGTTATGTTATTTATCGAGTTGATCGAGTTATTTATTTCTGTTTCTGCTGGCGAATTAGAAGGAAAATTAGCAGTGGCTGAGCAAAACAATTGTGTAGAGGTCTCGGGGGTGGTGGAAGAAGTTGCTGTCTCGTTACAAAACAATTGCTTGGCAATATTAACTTTATTTTGAACTGAGTCTTCTATATATGACTCTGCAACCCTTGTTGATTTCCACCCACCGTGCCTCTTTATTGCCGCAAAATCAGCCCCTGAGTCAGATAAGATTGTGGCTGATGATCTACGGAAAGAATGTCCCGTATAGTTTTGGCTGATCTAATTTTAAAAATTGTGCAACTGTATATGGAATTTTGGAAAATGTGTTGATACCAACAGAGTTTGTAGTGCATTTATTGTGTCTGTAGTGTACAAAGAATCGTATATGTTTTGTATGGTTGGGTCCCAGTGTTATATACCGTCTGATTAATTTTAAAAATATACTTTGGTCATCATCTACAATGGTAAAAACTCTTTTTTCTTTTGTTTTTGTTCTGGAGCCAGGGATAGTAACTAAAAATTTTGATTTCAAATCTTCAACATTGTTGGTTTGCAATTCTAGAAGTTCATGCTTTCTTAAAGCTCCAGCGATGCCGAAAATGAGTGCTACCTATAAAAGTTGTTAGCTTGTACAAATTCAAGTTCTTGGTCTTAATTTACCTTGGCCATTAAAAATACATCATTTGGAGTTTCAATAATAAATTGTTGTACTTGCCCTTTCTCCAATATTTTTGATTTTTTTAGAACATGTCTTTCACTTTGTCTTTTAATGTACATTATCAATTTATGATAATTGCCAATGTCAATATTTTTTTTTAGACGTAGAGTAGACTTCAACATTGAAAATTTTGGCCAGAGGCTCGCAATTAATCCTTTTTGTACGATCTCGGCAAAATACGCCAGCAAGACGGGCTCAATGTAATCGTTTACGTGTTGCTTGGTACACCAATCGCAGAATTCAGAGTATGTTCTTTCGTAGAGATCTTTACTTTTAGCCGGTAATAAACTTCCACACACATCGTTCGCACTTGCTATTACTGTAGCCGGAAGATCACTATTTTCTAGTTCCATTTCTCAATTTACAATTTACAACCGCAATGGCAAACACTTTTTACACAATGAATGTCAACGTTTTTGCTTCGCTTGTCATTTTTTTTTTCAATGATAACTATGTTAACTGTTCAAAATTAAAACACACAAGAATGGGCAAGTTTGTGGAACTATGTTAACTGTTCAAAATTAATAGGTCGATTCTGTAACAATCAGTTAACATTATGTTATTTTAAATTTCTGTTATTAAAATTGCTATGTTATCAGGACGTTAACATAAAACAAGAAATGTCGTATTCTGTAAACCATTATGTTAGTACCTAAATAACAGATGTGTCATTTGTCCGAAAATGTTATTTTTCGAAGTAATGACACCATTTTCATCACTGTCAAACAAATACACCACGAAAATGTGTTTTTTCATAAAATTTTTGCTTAGTAGATATTATCGCTTCTGCTGTCGTTGGGAACTAGATCCAGACAGGCATTAAAATTTTACTAATTAGGCGACAAATTTAAGTCATGACCCTGCTAACCGATGGTTGACTCATGGCAACAGAAGAAGACATTCCTGCGTAGTGTTGGTATGGAGCCATGGCCTAAGAAGTTCACTGTAGCTAAAATTTTTAAGTATCCCGGAATACCACTGGCACGTAGATTTCCCAAATGAGGTTGCAACCTCTCCAGTAAGAAACGGGTCATATTTTTGCTAAAATGAAAGGACTTTCTAAATTCCGTCTCTGTTAAATTTTTGAAGGAATTTTGATTGTCGCGAAGCTCCCTCAGCCGAATTCTCATTCTGTTCATATAATACATGTATTGTTATATTTTTAGTAATACTATGATATGAAAGACCTACCGTTGAATTTCGTCTTCTAATAATAAGTAACTGAAGACGGGTGGAAAATCATCCACTTCTGTCATTTTACTTCTTTTGCCACCTCAGTCAAATTTGTGATATTATTAATTAATAAACCTCAAAATAACCGCATTATGTTAATAACATTGATTCAAATGTCTCTGTTATTTTACAGAGTATTTTAATAACATAATGTTATTAACATAACAGAATGAAGCTTAGCGAATTGCAATTTATGTTAAATATGTTATTACATAGCAACAACATAATGTTAGCTGTGTTTACATAGTGATAACAGAATGTTATTAACATAACAAGTTACAGAATCGATCTATTAAACAGACAAGAATGGGCAAGTTTGTGGTCAACGAAAAAATGTTGTAATAAACTCGTTTGTTAATGGGCGATTAATAATCTCCACTTTTAAAGGCACTCACTCGCTACGCTCGTTCGTGCTTTAAACAGTGTCGATTATTAATCGCCTTCATTAACAAACTAGTTTATTAAATAACTATTTGCTGATGATAGAAATCATATTTACTATTTTTTAATACGAGAAAAGACATTACAATTTTACTTATACGACAACAGTTTTGTGAGAGTTTGATAAAATAATACTTGAGAGATTTTATTTATCAAAATGGTCTAGACTGAGCGAAAATTATCAATTTGATTGTATAGTATGTTAAACGTCTCGGTGTCTTGTTAAAACAGTTCTCGCTCTTTTTTTTTTTTAATAGTATATTACGTAATAAGAGTTGTAAGAAGCATATTACGCACGAATGGAAAAAGTTGCGATTTTCATAAGAGATATATTATGCTTACTTTTTCTACGAGCACCGAACAGCAAAGAAATAAATATTTTCATTTTATTCATGAACATTACCATTTTATTTAGTTTTATTAACTGATTACTGAGTGAGACAGCGCGAGTACATTCCTAGCATGACGGGCTCCCATGACATGTCACAATGCTGCCTATGGCGTTTTGAGGAAAACCAGCTGCTCGAAGTCTTCATCTCGGGCTTTTTGGATACGGCCTGTGTGTAGATCGAGATGGCTCGTTTGACGGGGTCGCGACAATTTATTCCGTTTAAATTGTCCTACAGTAATCATTACATTGGATAAAATAATTCAGTTTGACTTGTTCGTTGATTTCTGATAATAATTTCTAAATTCACTTTGACATTTGGATTTTGCATGATTAATCCAAAGACACGATCGCCGAACTTCGACAGTGGGACGAAACATTTCGGGACAAATCGGCTCGGGCGCGAATTTCAAAATACGATTTTTAAAACCTTTTTACAGTGAATGAGCGCAATGCAACGATTTGAAAAAAATACTGGCCGATAGCCCTCTTCGGCCTCCACAAAAGCATCACTCAATAATAGCTTTAAAGTGATCTAGGGAGATATTATAAAATAAAAACCAATTCCCATGTTAATTCCTTATGTTCAGACTTGGATGCGGCACCCTGTATTTGTGAGGTTAGAACATGGACGTGAGATACCTTCATACCTTACCGATCGCTCGATCATACATGACTGACCCTTTTCGTGTTTTTGCACGTTTGTTATCAGTCACTTTTTTATTCTTAATCCGAGTCGTTCTATGCCATCCATTGAAAGAAATAGGTCAAGAAATACAACCAGAAGCGTGTATGACAATTTATATTTAAATTTCAAATATTTTTTTCTAGACACTGCTACCACATAGAAACGTGTATTTTACACAGGGCAATAATCTTATTGTGAGCTATTCCCCATTTTTTTATTACACATATTTCGAAATCAGGCTGTGGATAGGATTTATTAGGCATTATTAAATCGGAAAGCATGTTTCTCTATAAAATTTAAACAATATTTACTGAATAAAAGTTTTGAAATCAAAACATTAATTTTAATAAGCGAATTACTATGTGCATGGCAACCTTACGACGCACGCAGACTTTCAGAGCAATTGGTTTTCTAGTTTCTCACAATACATAAAATGGAAAACTTTGTGACAGAATTTTGAAGTAAAAATACGTGAATGATATTTGAAACAGTTGTAGACTAAAATTCAAAATTAGTTGGGATTATATATATTACACAATTTATTTTCCTCATACAAACAACACATTATTCATTATTTATTAAAATAATTTATTCCATTCCAGAATTTTGAAAATAGTCTCAGAACAACGACCAGTGCAGGTAATGAATATAACAATGTTGTTCTCACGAGTGTTGTATTGGAGCTTGTTAACAACACTGCAATAAAGAACTTCCATATTTCATCAAGCGACCAAGACTTCGCCGCATTCGACGATATAGTTATAAAACTTGAAACAAATAACGGAACGGAGATAAAAGCAATACAGCTGAAACACAGTAACGAGAAAGAATTATGCATAGAACATTTAAAAGCACAAGATACAGATTTTAGCATTAGCACATATTTTAAATATTTCAAAAAAATAAGAAATGGGGCGGATAAGTTAATATTATTTACCAATAGATCATTTAAATACATCGAGAATAGAGCTTTTAAAATTTCAGGAGAAAAATTCGATATTAAACCTGTTAAAGCAAACGACATTTTACAACTGCGAGAAAACGAAGATTCTGTATACAAGTTTGAAATAATGGAAGAAAATTGGACTGCAGAAAAACTTAATAAAATTCAACAGTATCAAATGTTTTTTAGTAAATTTTACCTCTATACCAATCAAGAATCTCTTGCTGATCTAAAAAATACAACAGCTACCAAATTCAAGGCACGCTATTCTTCGAGCGACGAAGTATCCTATAAATTTCTCCGGACAGTCTCTGAATGGAATATCCAAGATGGGGAAAAAGAAAAACTAAACAAATATTGGACGGAACGTTTAATTGCACTACACCTTTTTTCTTCACAAGTCGAGCCGTTATCTTTTGATTTCGTTAATAAAAAAAGTAGGCGTTCACCTCAGGACGTAAAAATGGAAATATTTCGAGAGGCTATTTGTTCATTCGACATCGCACTATTTCAAAAAATATCGAGCAAAACAGTTAAACAACTTTGGAGTGATTTTGGAAAAAATATTGACTTTAAAGAATTAAACAAAATGAGGAAAAGATATCTACCTACTATTAGTCATATTGATCAAAATAATATGGATCCAAAAACGCTTACTCAGTTGTTATGGTTAATGGACAAATGTCCATTACTATTAAATCACTGTGAAAACGTCAAAAAAGCTATCCAACTCTGTCCTGATAAAAATTTCATCTTAATTGGTGAAGGCAAGATTGAGGAGTGGATGAAAAACTATTCTGTGTTCCAAAATTTATCAAACTTGAGTCAGAAACCCGATCTGTGCCAAACGGTCATGAAGAATTTTACCGTATCGATTCAAGGGAAGGAAGAAATTAATCTTGAGACAGTTTTCGGAAGCGATGAAAAAAGTTTAGAAAAAATCACATCGGACAATTTAGTCGAAATGCTAGACGGTCCAATTTGCATAGGTGGAAAAAAGGAAACACTTCCTGAACCCTATATTGAGCGTTATCTCTGGGGAAATATAATAAATATCGCATATTTAGAAAAAGTTCACAAAAATACAATTATTGTTTTGAATTTTCAAAACAACTTTGATAAAGTCAAAGACAAACTCCGGTACTGTAAATTAATTGACATTGATAACTTTTTGCAGAAAAAAAACACGTGCACAAAGAAAGATGTCAATAAACACGAAAATAGTTACGATAAATCAGACTTTGTTAACACAATTTACGTAGGTAGCAGGCATTATAATAAATCCGAAATTCAACAAATTTATAACGAAAACACAGAAACCGAAAAAATTCACTATTTCAAAATTTCAAATGATGGAAATTTAGAGTGGATGGAAAGCAAAGGTGGTGTTAGTGATCTAGAGGGTTACAAGCTGACTACGAACGAAAATACGCCGAACGAAAACGCGCTGTGGTCTTCTTGTTTAGACAATAATATCAATCTATTAATTGGTGATCCGGGAAGTGGTAAATCTGTGCTAATGAAAAGTTTCAAAAATAAATGTCCACCGAAATACTGGACAGTTATTATTAATCCTCAAGACGTTAATTTATTGCTTCACGATCTGAGTAAAAGTGCAAATTATGCAGATTTAAGTGAAAAAATTATCAGTAACGAAAAACATCGGTTACGCAGTGAACTGGATAAAAATTTGTTCGAAACGTGTGTTGAAATAAAAACCGTCGTTTTCGTCTGGGATGCAATCGATGAAATTTTAAGTGAAAATTTAGATTTCGTAATGAATCTAATTCTTCAGTTATCAAGACGTGGTTTTCTTCAGTGGGTTACTAGCAGACGATATATAAAAACATCATTAGAGAACACATTCAGTTTACTCGCACTTAGTATGAAATGTTTTAGTGAAGACGAACAACAACATTATTTTAGAAAACGTCTGAATACTTTTATTTCCGCAGACAAAACTGAAGTCACTATCGAAAAAATTAAATCGTCATTTGCAACGGTGGAACACGTAGACATACTGGGAATTCCGCTTCAGATTTTCATGCTCACGGAATTGTTTCGTCAAAATAATGAAAGATATTTGAAACTAATGGAAAACACTTTCCTCTTAACTGACTTGTATGATTACTTCATTTCAGAAAAAATTAATATTTTTTACAAAGATAAACTGGAAATTGATTTGCAAAATCCTTACATAAAAACTATAGTTCTTGAGAGAAAACAACAAGCTTTAAAATATTTTGAAAGTGTGGCGCTTGTAGTGTCATTTTCCGAAGAAATTTTGCAACGATTAAATTTCGACAAAAAACAATGCGTTGACAAAGTATTACGAAGTTACATATCTTTAGGTTTTATAAGTGAAGTCCAAAATGACGTGCCGCATTTTCTTCACGATTCTTTCGTGGAATATTTCGTTGCTATATACTTTTCAAAGAATATTAACAATTTTAACGACACATTTGCAGATATACTATTCGACACAAAGTATACCAACGTTCGTTTCTTTTTTGATATGTTGTTAGCTAAAAATTCGGAAGCTCACATTGCCGTCTTATATAAAAATTATGAATTGCTTCAAACATACGACGAGGAAACTTTGGCACGCGAAGATCAAGGTGGCAGAAGTGCGTTACATTTGATTTCATCGTGGGGGAAACGATACCCGCGTGTAAAAGTTACTGCGGTAGGAAGTGTGGCCCATATGGTACACAAAGATAGCAGTTTTGATAACAAAGCGGAAACCAAAGCGTATTTTGCAGCGGCAATGAGTTTGCAAAGCAAGTATGATATTGACAAACGTGATCGTTTGTTCAGTGCGACACCTTTGTATTATGCGAGAAAAAGTGAGAGTTTAGGGGCAGAACTAAAATTGCTTCAAACAAAAAAAAATGAATTAAATCAGTTATGCACTAGTGATGATATAGTAAATATTTTATATTATTCCGCTCAACTCGGGTACGACGAGGTGTGTGGACTATTCACAGCCGAATTATTACATAACTTTCAGTGCGAAATGAAATCTATTTGTACAAATCACTTTGAAATATCCTTGGTGTTGGCATGCAAAATTGGCGACTTAAAATTTTTTGAAAATTTTAAAAAATTTGCCGTGAAAATCAATGGAGCCGATAATGAGGGTTGGACACCACTTCATCTAGCTTCCGTCAACGGCCATAAAAAAGTTGTCGAATACTTGGTGACAGTCGGCGCCGAAATCAATCGCGCTACGAATGACGGTTGGACACCACTTCTCATAGCTTCGGCAAACGGCCACGAAAAAGTTGTCGAATATTTGACGACAGCCAACGCAGATATTAATCGTGTTGATCCCGACGGTCTTACACCACTTTACGTAGCTTCCCAAAACGGCCACGAAAAGGTTGTCGAATACTTGGCGACAGTCGGCGCCGAAATCAATCGCGCTAATAAAAACGGTGCGACACCACTTTACATAGCTTCACAAAACGGCCACGAAAAAGTTGTCGAATACTTGACGAAAGTCGGCGCCAAAATCAATAGCGCTGATCATGAGGGTTGGACACCACTTCACATAGCTTCTCAAAACGGCCATGAGAAAGTTGTCGAATATTTGGCGACAGTCGGTGCCGAAATCAATCGGGCTACGAATGACGGTTGGACACCACTTCACATAGCTTCACAAAACGGTCACGAAAAAGTTGTCGAATACTTGGTGACAGTCGGCGCCGAAATCCATCGTTGTACTAATGACGGTGGGACACCACTTCATGTAGCTTCCCTGAACGGCCATGAGAAAGTTGTCGAATTCTTGGCGAGAGTCGGCGCCGAAATCAATCATCGTACTAATGACGGTTGGACACCACTTCACATAGCTTCACAAAACGGTCACGAAAAAGTTGTCGAATTCTTGACGAAAGTCGGCGCCGAAATCAATAGCGCTGGCAATAAGGGTTGGACACCTCTTCACATAGCTTCTCAAAACGGCCATAAGAAAGTTGTCGAATATTTGGCGACAGTCGGGGCCGAAATCAATCGCCCTCAGAATGACGGTGTGACACCACTTTACATAGCATCAGAAAATGGTCACAAAAAAGTTGTCGAATACTTGACGAAAGTCGGCGCCGAAATCAATCGCGCTACGAATGACGGTTGGACACCACTTCATATTGCTTCACAAAACAGTCACGAAAAAGTTGTCGAATACTTGGTGACAGTCGGCGCCGAAATCAATCGTCGTACTAATGACGGTTGGACACCACTTCATGTAGCTTCTCTGAACGGCCACGCGAAAGTTGTCAAATTGTTGGCGAGAGTCGGCGCCGAAATCAATCGCGCTGATAATGAGGGTCGGACACCAGTTCACATAGCTTCCCAAAACGGCCACGAAAAGGTTGTCGAATACTTAGTGACAGTCGGCGCCGAAATCAATCGCGCTACCAATAACGGTGTGACACCACTTCACGTAGCTTCCTTCAACGGTCACGAGAAAGTTGTCGAATACTTGGCGATAGTCGGCGCCGAAATCAATCACGCTAATAAAAACGGTGCGACACCACTTTACGTAGCTTCCCAAAACCGGCACGAAAAGGTTGTCGAATACTTGATGACAATCGGCGCCGAAATCAATCGCGCTGATAATGAGGGTTGGACACCAGTTTATGTAGCTTCCCAAAACGGCCACGAAAAGGTTGTCGAATACTTGGTGACAGTCGGCGCCGAAATCAATCGCGCTACGAATGACGGTTGGACACCACTTCTCAAAGCTTCTCAAAACGGCCACGAAAAGGTTGTCGAATACCTGGCGACAGTCGGCGCCGAAATCAATCACGCTAATAAAAACGGCGTGACACCACTTTACGTAGCTTCCCAAAACGGCCACGAAAAGGTTGTCGAATACTTGGCGACTTTCGGCGCCGAAATCAATCGCGCTACTAATGACGGTTTCACACCACTTTACGTAGCTTCACAAAACGGCCACGAAAAGGTTGTCGAATACTTGATGACAATCGGCGCCGAAATCAATCGCGCTGATAATGAGGGTTGGACACCAGTTTATGTAGCTTCCCAAAACGGCCACGAAAAGGTTGTCGAATACTTGGCGACAGTCGGCGCCGAGATCAATCACGCTAATAAAAACGGTGTGACACCACTTTACATAGCATTACGAAACGGTCACGAAAAAGTTGTCGAATACTTGGCGACAGTCGGCGCCGAAATCAATCGCGCTACGAATGACGGTTGGACACCACTTATCAAAGCTGCCCAAAACGGCCACGAAAGGTTTGTCGAATACTTGGCAACAGTCGGCGGCGAAATCAATCACGCTAATAAAAACGGTGCGACACCACTTTACGTAGCTTCCCAAAACGGCCACGAAAAGGTTGTCGAATACTTGGCGACAGTCGGCGCCGAAATCAATCACGCCAATAAAAACGGTGCGACACCACTTTACATAGCTTCGCAAAAGGGCCACGAAAAAGTTGTCGAATACTTGGTGTCTGTCGGCGCCGAAATCAATCGCTCTCAGAATGACGGTTGGACACCACTTCACATAGCTTCTTGGAACGGTCACGAAAAAGTTGTCGAATACTTGGCGACAGTCGGGGCCGAAATCAATCGCGCTGAGAATAACGGTGTGACACCACTTTACATAGCATCAGAAAACGGTCACGAAAAAGTTGTCGAATACTTGGCGGCAGTCGGCGCCGAAATCAATCGCGCTCAGAATGACGGTTGGACACCACTTCACATAGCTTCTTGGAACGGTCACGAAAAAGTTGTCGAATACTTGACAACAGTCGGCGCCGAAATCAACTGCGTTAATAAAAACGGTGCGACACCACTTTATATAGCTTCCTTGAACGGCCATGGAAAAGTTGTCGAATACTTGGTAACAGTTGGCGCCGAAATCAATCGTGTCAATAATGAAGGTTGGACACCAATATACGCAGCTTCTGAAAACGGCCATGAAAAAGTTGTCGAATACTTGATGACAGTCGGCGCCGAAATTAATTTTTCTCTTAAAAAAACGGTCGGACACCACTTCCCATAGATTCCTAAAACAGCCGTGAAAAAATTGTCAAATACTTAGATACTTACCTACTTGGCGGACAGACATTTTAGAACGCTACGTTAGATATTATTTGCGCTGTAGTACTTTGCAGAAAGCGTAATGTATGGGTATTTTTATTAATTAAATCATTGTTGAATTCGTTGACGCTTAAAAATTCTAGTAAATTTAAATCTCAGATGTAAAAAATGAGCTTTCGTCGACGTTTACTTTTGTAAATATGAATGTAAATTTAATCAAATAAAAAAGAATTTTTTGTACGCTTTTGTAAGCAGATACTCCTGTAGGATAATTTTCTTTATTTTATAAAGGATGTCTGAACAATTCTGGTATAGAATTGTGGGAATGAGTAAAAAGCCAATAAAGCTTAATACTGATTTCATTCAAAACAACCTAACTTATTTATACAAATCTAACTATTTACAGCGTGTGAGTGCTTCTAAACTAAAGGTAATAAGACATATGAAATTGTATTGCGACCCAGTTTCTTGTATGTTCTTTTGTTACATTACCGCTGCCTTCTTAACGCTGACGATGGTGCTTGTGCGGTGGTCAGCGTTTCGTAGTTCTGGTGCTTGCAATTCCATGTTTCAGCGTTCTACATTTCTGTCGTTGATTCTGACCTCCTTATTGGTGACGTAAAGCGGAAATTTAAATTTAATAAATCATTGTTTAAATTTTAAAATTTAAACATGTTGGGTCTCTCGAAATGGACAGGGACGATGAGGTTTTTAAAAGGGTTGCACTGGGAACGCAATGGTATGGATTGGTAATTAATTAGGGTACTGTTGGCGGGTAAATGGGCATCATCTCGACAGCCTCCTCTTGAGGCCGTGGTTGCGTCCGTTGTCTTCTTCGTTGAATAAAGAACCATGCTGTCCAGACTGCAGCCCCAATTGTTAGAACGGTGATTCCGGTAATGACGTTGAATCTTACAGTGTGCAGAGTTGTCTTTGTCCACGTTGTTTCTTGAAGTTCGGACTGTATTTCTTCTTCTTCCTTTTCTAATTCTTTTGGTGTGTTGAGCCGGGACCATGACTTCTTTTATTGGTGTTAACTGTTGGTGGATTTTTGGTGGAACCAAATTTGCCACCACCGGCCGTGTGGTTGGTATGGGTGTGACTGGAACTGATGCCATCACTCATTTCTGTCTGGTCCTCCCACTTACCTACAAACATACTAACCACTAGATGTATAAAATAATTAATTTCAACAAAGGGGCTAACAAAGAAAAACCAATGGGATGAAACCCCCCTGTGTTGGAAAGAAGTGCTTTCTCGTTCTCTCTCGTCTATACCAGCAAATCGCCGTCGATTTACATATTCTTTATCAAAAAGTCCCTATCAATACCAATTACATTATACAATGAATCTATCGAACAGCTTTTTGGAGTGGCCACTGGCTCGCGACTTAACTAGGATATCCAGCCATGGATCTCGAACCCATCAAACGTTCTTTTACTGGTGACTCGGTTGTTTCTCACAGGTGGAAACGCAAACTTTATTCCACGTGTGGTAGGCTAGGTCTATGTCCATCATCCATCCGAATTTCCAACCTTTTCTTTTCTCAAAACATCTGTACATAATTATTTACAAAGTGAGGAATCGCATCATGCCATTTCGATAACGGGATGTCTCGAACAAAGCCCTTCTCTGCCTCTGTGCCCATCCATCATGGTCGCTATAAAACTGTGCCGTAGCCGTTTTCTTGAAATTCGACAAAGGGCTAGGCACGCTTGAAACTTAATTTACTTTTTTAACGACTCCCTCGTAAAAGATTAGAGATGTCGTACTATAAACTTAACCCGAGGGTCCAATGCCACATGGAGAGAGGACGGGATATAGCTAGATGGGACAAAGGAAGTATATGGATCTATTTGTTGGGATTTTCTGGGAAGGTTCGGAAGAGGTGATTTTTAAGGGGTCGTTAACAAGAATTGGACCCATGATGGATAGCCGAGACAAATTAGCTCGCGACAATGGTGCCCTTTTTGGGGTTGCCCGTGCACTTGTTACAATTGCCTCCTGCTTCGACTAAAAAAGTCGACGATGTGCGTCGAAGACAGTGTCCCGTATATTGTTTCGGATTTTCCAATTTTAAGTAGCGAGCAATAATAGATGGAACACTTTCTATCGTATTTTTCCCAATGGGTTGTGCTGTAAAGAAAAAAATTTTTCTCTTCTAAACCGGGTCGTCTTAAACTTGCGTACTTCCGAACCAACTGCAATGCACCCAATTCTTCCTCTTCTATTATAGTAAACGACTTAGATTCATGGGTTTTAGTTTTTGGAATTCACACTAATATAACACTTCCTTTATCAATAGCATTTTCGATAGTGAGCTGCACCATCTCAATTTTTCTTAAAGCACCAAATTACTAGAATCACCTGAAACAACATTTTGAGAACACGTTGTCAAATAAATCTTTTGCATACTATGTTCAAAAGATGCGTTTCGTTAGACGCATCTCTTATGAACGTTAAAACTTGTTCTCCTGTCAGGACTTGTGATTTTTTGGGAGAATATCCCTTCGACTTTTGCTTAAGGAATGCGATCAATTGTTTGAAATTCGAAATGTCAATATTTTCATTTATCAGGAAAGTCTCTTTCATGTACGAATACTTTGCCCACAAGGAATTAGGGCTGTATTTTTGGACTAATATATAAAAAATAATATATTAACATAAGCCATCATCACAGTTTTGTTTATGCCATCAAAAGAATTTTTCCGTTTCCACTGGTTAAAATTTTCATCGGGTGGAACCCCGTTGCCCATCACGGCATTATCATCCGTCTAACTTCCTTGGTACATTAATATCTATATAATGCAAGAGATTATGGCATCAATGAAAGCGAATGCGATAATTTCATGAGTGCCATAATTCTGCATTATATAAACGAATGTTATACGCTATTTTGTGGTCGAAATAGCGATAACGAAATTTCAAAAATACAAATGACAATTCATGATGGTTACCATGACGTTTTTTCAAACAATTCCATTGTCTTCTCTATGGTGTACCATTTTGTTTCCATGCTACGATTTTATGGCGCTATAAATCGAGCCATAATCTGAAATCGTGCTGTAATGTGACACATTACAAATGATTTTCGATGCGTCAAACGGGAATTATGAGGCTTATCGACCACAATAGTTTTTTATTCAACTAGTTGGGTAATGACAGCGATTAACGATCGAGCAATTTTAATTACACGAGCGACCGAAGGGAGCGAGTGAAATTAAAAATAGGCGAGATCGTTAATCGCCTTTACCCCACGTGTTGATTAGAATATTTTTTCGAAGATCGTAATTTTCGAAAACAGCAATTTAAATCATATTTTTAACATTTGTTATCCAACTAAATATACTTGAAATGTCTAAGTTTGTTTTGACATTTTATTAAATTGGTATGCAACCAACAATACTTTGAAATTTCTGTCGAGTTTATTTCATTTAAATTTGTTTCACAATACATTTTTGATTAAAAAAGCACCCTGTGGATTCAACTTTTAAATATCGCGTTAATTTTAAAAAACTTTTATATTGAAATAACAAACTTTATTAGATTGGTATGCAACCAACAATACTTGACTTTTCTGTCGACTTTAGTTTAATCGTTGAATAATGAGACTCATTATTGATCAATTTTGAACACCAAATTTGTTCGTAAATTTCACTTTAAAATTATATTTCGGAACATTTGGCTTCTGAATAAACGAAAAAGTGTTTTAACCCCTACACATTTGAACAACGAGATCTGAATTTTGGGGAGAAATTGGCGTTTGCAGTTTTGTTCGGGAACAGCAGCTCAATGATTTTAATTTTATCAGGAACATTTTATTTAGGGATGAATCTAAATTTTCCAACACTGCCACTATAAACAAACACATTTACATTGCGCACAAGAAAATCGATGAAGGATTCCTGAAACTCATTTTCAGGGTATTATTTCCATCAATTTTTATTTTAAACGTAATGCGTTACAGTGACTTTTGTTTTGACGTTGTTAAATTGTGATATTTTTGGAATTCTAATATTAATCAAGAAATAAATGGGTAATGTATTTCGGGTTGCCGTTAACCACAAACCAGATACTGCCTAATAAAGAAACAAAAAGGTAGTCGCAACTAGGTACGAGGGCTCCTATAAAACAAACAAATAGAAGAGTATCAGTTTTGGTTATAACAAGGAAACATTTTTATAGCGCACAGGATCTAAATTCTCTACAGACCAATCGTTGAAATAGCAATCAGAAAAAAATCTAACCGGAAATACCACACAAATCTCAACTCAAAATAAAATTAAACGAATCCAATAACTGAAAATTTCTCTACACCACTTTATCACTTTGCCTTCTCCACCGATTACAGCCGTTTAAGAATTCCTGATTATCTGTAACTGCAAAAAAAGTTAAAATTCTCTTATTAAACGTGCAACTATCCAAAATAAATAGCTAATCGATTAGCGCCTCTAAAAAGTTATTAATGCAAATGCCTTGATAGTTACAATAATAAATATTACAAGACTTCCTGAAACCAAAAACAGGATTGTGTTTTCTACTTAATCTACTAATAATCAGCGACGCATGGTATCGTTTAGTATTTTCCAAAAATTGTCGGAAATGATTTTTACGAAAACTGACAACCCCACTACAACATCATCACGCTTACGAAAAGAAAAAAAAAATTGAAGGTAAATAACCTCTGTACTGTGAAACCAAAGTTTAAACATAATCTTACAGAATTTTTTCTCCGTGGACATCATCATTAATAATAGTCTTCAGTGACGGGAATCCTTTTATTTTCCACACGTCCGACAACAACGAGAAAATCACGAAAATGAAGCATTCTCTACGTTAATTTATTGTGCTGTTGACGTCGTGTGATATGTAAGTAGAAACTATACTTACTTTTTGTTTTACGTCTTCTGTCTGCATTATTTAAATACTTACATAATAGTAAACTTATATTTTTGTTATTACAGCGTACAATAATATGCTCAATTGCTCACACTTCGTCAGGTGCAGACTAGAGCTATCAAGATATATCAAGCTCATTAACACTGCAGTCTCCAGAGTGAAGCATTATCGTCTACTCTTTTCAGTGGCAAACCAGTAGCAGTAACTACCAGAGAATAGGTCAACTAGTTGGCACTCCTGGCAATTCGTGGACGCACCATGCTTTGGAAATCGATTACCCGTTTCAAGGTGTTCAGAAGAAATTCAGCCTACAATAGTCGCTATCCTGGCTCTTCGGGAAATCGTCCTGTCTACCCTAAAATTGTTCGCCAAATTTGAAAGTATACGGTTTTTCAAAATTGTAAATATTCTACATAGCATTGTTTTGAGAAAAGAGATTGAGTTTTGACCAGACAGATTGTCCAACTTCCGAACTTGTCGGGGTGTGTTTGATATGCCACCTGAACCAGAGCTGAATGAATCAGCAAAGCAAGTTTTGAAGTATGATAATCTTAATTAGAGTTAGAGCGTAGAAAATTCTCGCCGTTCACAATAATGGTAGATGTAGGTGTATTTTACGTCGAATGTTTGTAAGCCTAATTGTACGAAAAGAATGTTTCTATGTAAAGTTGTTTTTTTTTGTAATTTTTCTCACCTTAGGGTTTAATTGTGTTTGTTTCTTTTTATTAATTATTTATTTGAACTTTATTTTTGTGATTGCAAATAAAGGAGTCTGGTCGAAACGACTGAGTAGTTTTATTCCACGACTCATTGCCGTGGTTTTAAATTAACAAGTGGGACCTGGTGTCAGCATATAGCCTATATGTATAGCTTTTCTTGTATAGATTTTCAAGTTTTCCTAATTTCTTTCTGCATGACTTCCAAAACATTATCGGTGCAAAAATTATTATTCTTTAAATAATCTCTCAAATTACAAAATATTTGCTCTACTAAAATTGCTCTTTGGAACGCGTTCTCTGAAGCGTAATGTAAAGCACCAGTTTTACATTCTTTTAATGCGACAAATTTTGCATAATTTTCATTACAATTCTTCCTAGAGACCAAAGCAACAATACATTTTTTGCAGAAATTTTGATTTTTTATCAAGCTTTAACAACGTAACCTGTGCAACTGTATAAAGCATTTTTTTTTCTGAAAGAAAGTTCTTTTTTCTTCAAATTCCAATTGCTATGTAAAGCTAAATTTTCTTTTCCTTTAAAAACATCGTTTTCTTTTCTGTTAATATTTTTAATATAACTCAAAAACCAACTGAAGATGTTGTTTTGTCGGTTTCGTAACTTGAGTTATTTGAAACGTCCAAATATTGAGAAACTGAAAAAAGTTTTAAGTCATATTTAATTTGAATGGCCGTAGGGACCGGACGTCTTGACCCAATTTGGGAAAATACATTTTCTAAACAATTTTGAGAAAATGTCGATGTTAATAAATATGAGTTTTTTTTTTCGTTCAAAAACAAGTTTTGCAGGTCTAAAATTGATGTTGTAGTCAGTATAACACCTGTTTGAATAGGCTTCCAAACTGGTTTTCCAAATTTGTCAGGAGCTACTTTTAAGTTTAAAAATAACTTAATGAACTCTTGAAGGAAGTAAATTTTTTCGCCATTAACTGGGTCTAGGACATAATTTTTTGTCTCGCATTTTCTTCCAGCTTATATTCCAAAGGTTTTCCACATAGCTTGATTAGCCGATCCCATATCTGAAGTTACAGGATGAACCTTCAAATCAATTGCACTGGTTTTCTTAAAAACTTGCTTAAGAACATCAGCTAGAACTGCCCCATTCATACTGTCTCCAGTAAAATAGTATGAAACACTTTGTTTCCAGCGAGTAGTAATACCTCCCACAAGAATTACCAAGGCTTTTATCGCTACTTTCTCATGTTTTGGTAAAGTAATTCCCCCAATATAGGTCCCACTATGTACACAATAATCGATCCCAGCTTTTATATCCATTTCGTCAAATACCACCATACAATCCCTCCCAAAATCCTGATTAAGCGATTCACATTCAATTTTCAAAAACCCTATAATTTCATCCAAAACTCCAAATTTAAACTCCAAATTTTGTAAATGAAAATTCAATGTTCGAATAGCTGGAAATGGTAGTTTCATTTTTCTTAATAAGTCATAACCTCTAATCCCACATCAAAATTTAAGCTTCAAAGATTTAGTTAGTGATTGTTTGCTCGGAACATTTTTTGAATTTTTTCCCCTTCAGAGCCTCAATTTGATCCTTTGTTAATATAACAAAGAGCTGGTGATGGTTTCTTCAAAAGTTCGTTGGTTATTTTGTTTGGGAATGGCGGTATTTGTTGGACTGTACCTTCACCAAGGGCGAGCGAAGCTTTATCGAAGTAACCTTAGACCATTTTTTTTGTAAATTTATAACACAACCATCAACACTAAATTATTTAATGATATTATGAATGTACATTCGGAAGTTTCTTGAACAGTCTGATCATGTCAGTCAGAATAGGTTAGCACTATCAGGTCAGAGTAGTGAAATTCACTTTTCAAGTGATGATAAATGATTGCTTTAGTTACAATAGGCTCTTGGGGATAGGTTGAAATTATAGAACAATAGCAGACGGATTTATCTATACTTCTATACTTATATAATAAAGCTGAAGCTGTTGTTTATTTGAACACGCTAATCTCAGAAACTACTGGTTCAAATTCAAAAAATCTTTTTGTGTTGGATAGTCCATGTATCATATCTACATATAGGCTACATAAAATCACGCTACGATCATTAGGACCGAAGTAGCAATGAAAAATTCTGAAAAACGGGAAAATTATTCCTCCTTTGACAGCTTCCGTTGCTTACGCTGCTTAAACGGTTAAAGTTACGTAAAAATCATGTATAACGAAATTGTTCCCCTCTAAAAGTTCTAAAGAAAAGTCCCCGACAGCATATGTCTATCTTTTAAGGTCGAGTCAGTATAACCTTTTTTATGGTAATGAAATTTGTTCTAAAATAATAATGCATTATGTATAAAATTCTCGCGTCACAATGTTTGTAACCGAACTTCTCCGAAATGGGTAGACCGATTTGTATGAAATTTTTTATGTCTATTCGGTAGGTCTGACAATAGGTTGTAAACTATTTTTTAAACCCCTAAGTGATAAGGGTGGCCCACCCTAAAAAATTTTTGTCTATTTTTTTGACAAATTTTTTTATTTTTATTTTTTTAAGATTTGACATCAAAAAATACACACAACCCTAAATTTTCACCTTTCTACCACCAACCCCCATTTATTAATCATCTATAAAATAAAAATCAATTGCTGTTCCTATTAGTCACGCTAAGACTCAAAAACGGCTTGACCGATTTGATACATTTTTTATATTACGGGGATGCTTTATAAATAAAAAAAATAAGGATAACTTAAAAGAACAGTAAAAAATTAAAAAATTCTAAACATTTTGTATGGGAATCGCCACTTCGAATTACTGTCAATAGTTGGCGTCTCTGACGGACCTGTCGTCTAACTGACGTGTCATACAAAACTAATTCTTCCGTGTGATTGTGAAAAGTACATATATTGCATTTGAAATCGTTCTTTGTTTTTTCGTAAAAAAAAAACGTCGTTTATTTTAAAAAAAGTCTTGGTTAAATTTAATTACATATTGCGAAAGTTTCTTATTCATTTTGATCTGCCAATCTATTTACCTATATTCACTTTGTTGGTTTTGACAAAACCTCAAACTTTACCGTTATTCGAGGATTTAATTTGAAGTTTTCAATATTTTAAAATTCTCAAGACAAAATTTACAGATTTGATTGACTGTGAAAATAATTCTGTGTCGTTTTATGAAGTTCATTAAAATGCCGAGAAGACGAGAACCTCACATAGGTCCACGAATCAAATGTGCGACGAACTACCTCATGTGCAAACCGCATTGATTTATTTCATGGGTAATTCGGATATGGAAGTTGATCAGCGTTATGCTCATAATCAACATAATCAAACATTGAAGCGAGACATTGGGTGGTATGAATAAAACTGAGTAGATACTCATATTCGAAGTACGAAGTACCTACTTCATTATTTATTACTCTTATATACCTGAGCATCTACTCTATGTACTGAGTACCTACTGGGAAACATTGTATCTCCCCGGACACAAACTGAACATCTACGCGTTTTGCGAGCATTTAATCTAGATGTGAGCATCGGCGTGGCAAATAACTGAGCTGTCTGTAAAGTAGCTTAGAAAACCAGTAGGATCGTTGTAAGAGTGAATTTTAACTAAACATGGTGACTTTCATGAATGTGAAACGTCGTCAAAAGGTGCGTTCAGTTTGAAAAACACATTAGGAGCAGGAATATCGAAAACTTTTCATGTAATTAACATTTATTTGTTCATAAATTGTGCAGTGCATTTTTTCTAACACTGGCCATAGAGATTCCCATCTCAAGGTGTCTACCCCATACTAACTTATATTTTGGTGACTCGATTTTTGCCTTGATGGTTGAACACTGTCACTGTTGTCCTTTTTTGTTGTATCGAGATGCTACTTGAGCATCAACTGTTACTTACTGAAGTATTAGTATCATCTAGAAAAACTAGAAATATTTTGATTTGATATTCGAGTAGATACTTCGTATTTCGAGTATGACCATCTACTGAGTTTTATTTATATCAACCATTGTCAAAAAATTGATCGAACGTTGTTTCGACAGAACTTCCTTCACACCAAAAGTATAATATTCAGCATTTTCGAGTTGAGTCTTTTCTTCACACAATTTTGTGATGACCTAATCAACATTAACTATCAACACGTAGATATACCACCTTGGATTGGTGCAGTGTAATACTAAAAATAACTGTATTGTATTCCCAAAATTATCTGCGAAAATCGAGTGAGCCATTCCATCAATTTTTTCGGGGGAATAAATAAATATTCTTAACAATTTACCATGCTTACAATAACTTTAAAACGTCTGCAAGATCTCAAAGTATTCATTTTTGCAACTCTTGAGTTATTCACTAAAATAAATTGACTGATCCATATATTTTTTTGAGTCACTGTAAAAGCAAATCTAAAAAATATGAATGCAGTGATAAATTACGAAAATATACTGATGATATTTTCCACATTTTAGATAGGATTTATTCGGCAAAATCTTGAGATGACGTCTTCAAGTTTTTGGGCTTAATAAACAGATATATTTTGATTGAAAACCCACCATGTCAAACAGTAACTTCAAAACGTCTGCAATATTTCAAAATTCAGTTTTGCAATTCTTGATTCAATCAATAAAATAAATTGACTCAGTGATTAATTTTTTTGAGACACCCCCTATACGCAAAACTAAAAAATATGAATGGAATGATAAATCACAAGTATAGTCTCATCCTATTTTGGACATTTTAGATAGGATTCATTTGGCATCAATTTTTTGGAGGGGATAAGTAAATATATTTTGAATACAAATTTATTATGCTTATCATATGTTTAAAACATCTGCAAGATTTCAAAGCATTCGATTTTGCAGACTCAAAATTAAATTGTAGGTGAAACGGAGTTCACGGGGTCAGCTAGTATGATATAAATGTAGGATGTCATTACTTGGCCTTAGTAGAAGAAATAATAGAAATCTTGCCTGAGGGATGCACGGTAAGATTTTTACTGTGTACAGACAGATTTATTCCGGGTATGACAGTTTTCAGTGTTTGAATAACCTCCAAAATAACAAATTGAAAACTAAGATAATAATTATGTTTTTTATTTTTTTTTTCTTTACTTGGGAGATAAATATATATGTATAATACCATTATAAAAGGTGGATTTATTATCTTATCAAAAACAAGCAATCAATCAATTATATGATTGATATATAAGCAGATGTTCTCCTCTCTTGCAGTGTCTTATTGTACATGAATTTATCTAAAAGTGTTGTCGTTAAGTGTCTGTCTTCCACTTTAACGTTAAAAATGGAAAACGAATTTGAATTTGAGGTGAGTGTGTTTCCACTTACTTATGCCTATAAATATACCTCAGTCTAAAATCTTCGATAACTAAAATGAAGTATATATTAAGAGTTGTAAAGGGGACATTTTGACGGATGGTCAATTTAGTTACCATATGTCATATGACAAAATTTTTTAAATTGTACTTTGAAATCGAAATTAGAACAAACTGATCTCTTCAATTAAATTTCAGTGTTTTGCGTTATCGAAGATTAAATGGATTAAGACATATCCAGATAGCACGAAATAAATACTTGTAGAACAATAAATATTATGACAGCAATAAAAAATACAATCAGACCCAGACCGAATTTTCGTCTTATCAGATTACTGTCAATTTGAAGGTCTGAGTTGAAAACAAAGCGATCAAAAACAACTATATAAAAATTTATGGTCGGCTTTGACAGTATTTTTTATTTCTCCATCTGTACTTTTATCTGCAAGTGATAATGAAAAAAGAAATATTTATTAACATCCTTTTGAAAATGACTGAAGGAGAGATGCCTGTTTAAAATTAGTTTCAACAATTAATTTCGGAATCCTTTAGTCTCCGGGTTTGCAAAAACAGTGGTGGACTGAAGATAAGTGTTTTAATTTATATATTACTACCTAAATATTTTTATAAATAGTTATCAATACCTGGTACAGTAAAATGTTTTTAATATCTAGAAAAACAATATTACTTAAATTTATTTCTAACTTTTAATTCTTTTTCAAACCCATTGTTCGTTTATCACTTTGCAGACTTTTAAAAAAAGGCCCGGGACCACGGATAAAGGAAAAGAATATGAGGACGTGGTTCTGGCCAAGGTTGTCCTCGAACTAGTAAACGACCCCGCAATAACAAATTTTCACGTGGCATCAAACCAAGAACTCTTTGGTGCATTCGACGACATAGTCATTAAAACTGAGTCGGATGAAGAAAAGAAAGCACTAATTAAAGCAGTGCAATTGAAACACGCAGAGAAGAAAACATTATCCACGGAAAATTTACGATCCAGAAACGGAGACTTTAGCCTAAGCAGATATTTCGAAAGTTTTAAAAAAATCAAGGAACAGGCAGACGAATTTATATTATTTACGAATCGTTCGTTTAAGTGTAAGGACAAAGCAAAATTTCAACTGGAAGAAGAACGGTTTTATGTAGAACTTGTTAAAGCCAAACCTAGCTCAGAACTTTCAGTGCAGAAAGACTGTGTGTATCAGTTTCAAATAGCAGAAGATCCGTCGATTAAAGAAAACGATCCCAAAGTTCAAGAATATAAAGAGTTTTTTAGTAAGTTTTATCTGTACACCGGTCAAGAGCGGCTTGAGGAACTAAAAAATACAACGGCTGAAAAATTTGCTACAACGTACTCATCGAGCGACGACACATTTGATACATTTCTCAGAACAATATCTGCCTGGAGCATCCAAGACGGGAAAAAAGAAAAGCTGAACAAAACGTGGATAAAACGTCTAATCGCGCTACTCCTTTTATCTCCCCACGTCGAACCACTGTCTTTTGACTCCGTTAATGATAAAATGGAAATATTTCGAGAAGCGATTTCCTCTTTCTGCATCACACTGTTCGAAGAAAAATCGTGCCAAATCGTTAAACAACTGTGGGGTGACGTTGGAAATGAAAAGAATATTGATTTCAAGGAATTAAATAAAGCACGGAAAAGGTATCTACCTACAGTCAAACATATTGATAATAAAAATATGGATCCAAAGATCGTCTCTCAACTCTTATGGTTAACAGACAAATGTCCTTTAATATTACGTGAATGCGAAAACATCGAAAAAGTCATCCAGCTGTGCCCCAATAAAAAGTTTATTTTGGTTGGCAAAAACGAGAGTGAGGAGTGGATGACGAAGTATTCCAGCTTCCAAAATCTTTCAGACTTGACTTTGAAACCCGATTTGTGTGAAAAATTAATACAGAATTTTAGCATATCGATTCAGGGAAAGGAAGAACTTGACCTTCTGACAGCTTTTGGAAGCGACGAAGAATTTTTAGAAAACGTTACGACGGACGATCTAGCGGAAATGCTGACCGGTCCACATCGAATCGGTGGAGAAAAAGAAGCCCTGCCTGATCCCTATATTGAACGCTATGTCTCTCGAAATATTATAAATATCACCTATTTAGAAAAACTCCACGAAAACACAATTATAATTTTGAATTGTGAGAACAACTTTGATAAAGTTACAAGCAAACTAAGTAACTGTAAATTAATTGACATTAATAACTTTCTACAGAACAAAAATCGGAACTTCGATAATTTAACAAATAATGAAGTTCTTGATTTAAAATCTAATCCAGGTAAATATATAAAAGGCGCAAATAGACCAAGTGTTGCTAAAGCAATGTACGCAGGTAAAAATCAAGTTCAGTTTGAATCAAAACTAAATAACAAAGCAAACGAGTTCAGTTTTGATAAATCAAAGTTTGCTAATACGGTCTATGTGGGTAACCGGCACTGTAATGATCATGAACTTGAAGAAATTTATCACGAAAACAAAGAAACAAAACACTTTCATTATTTTAAACTACTGAGTGATGGAAATTTAGAGTGGATTAAAAGCAAAGGGGATGTTAGTGGTTTAGAAAATTATAAATTGTTTGAAAAATATTCTATGAACGAAAACGCACTGTGGTCTTCTCGGTTAGTTAATAATAACAACATAAATCTAATAACTGGCGATCCGGGACTCGGTAAATCGGAATTAATGAAAAGCTTAAAAAATAAATGTCCGCGCGAATATTGGACAGTAATAATTACTCCTCAATTCATTAATTCATTTTTCCACAATTCTGAATATTCGAAAACAACAAACTGCAGAGAATTATTTGAAAAATTGTTAATAGACGTTAAATGTCAGTTAGTCAATAAGTCGGATCAAAAGTTTTTCGAAATATTTATAAAGAAAAACAAAGTTGTTTACGTTTGGGATGCTCTTGATGAAATTTTAAGAGAAAATTTAGATGCCATTTTAAACATAATTCTTCATCTCTCAACAGAAGGTGTCCATCAGTGGGTTACTAGCAGACGAGATCTAAAAATATTATTACAAAACAAATTCAGTTTACTTTCCTTTAGCATAAACCAGTTTAGCGAAAACGAACAACAACATTATTTTAGAAAACGTCTGAATACTTTTATTTCCGCAGACACAATTGAAGTCACTATCGACAAAATTAAATCGTCGTTTGCGGTCGTAGAACACGTAGACATACTGGGAATTCCGCTTCAGATTTTCATGCTCACGGAATTGTTTCGTCAAAATAACGAAAAATATATTAAACTAATGGACAACACATTTCTGTTGACCGACTTGTATGATTATTTCATTTCGGAAAAATTTAACATTTTTTACGATAAAATGAAAATCGATCTTCAAAATCCCCACCTGGCAAGCAGAATTCACGAAGAAAAACGAAAGGTTCTAGATACTTACGAACGAGTGGCTTTGAAAGTGGTGTTTCATGACGAAATTCTGCAGCAATTAAATATCAATTTTGAAAAACACATAAAAAAATTTGTAAAAAAATATGCCTCTCTTGGTCTTGTTAAAGAATTACAAAATGAGGTGCCACTTTTTCTGCACGGTTCCTTCGCGGAATACTTAGTTGCGACATACTTTTATAAAAACAATGGTCAATCCAAGGACGTAATTGCGAATATATTATTTGATGGCAAGTATAATAACGTTCGTTTCTTTTTCGACATGTTGTTGTCCAAAAATTCAAAAGCTCACATTGCCGTGTTGTATAAAAATTATGAATTACTTAAAACGTACGACGACGAAATTTTAACACGCAAAGATGAATGTGGTAGAAGTGCTCTGCATCTCATTTCATCGTGGGGGAAAAGACATCCTCGTGTAAACATAACTGCGGCGTATCTTGTGCACGAAAACCCCAATTTCGATAAAAAATCGGAAAGCGGAGCATACATTGAAGCGGTGACATTTCTGCAACTGAAGAACGACGCTGACGAATGTGACACGTTACTAAACGCGACGCCTTTGTCTTATGCCAGAAAAAGTGAGAGCTTAGGGGCAGAACTAAAATTACTTCAAACAAAAAAGAATGAATTGAGTCAATTATGCGTTCACGACGATATGGTATACATTTTTTATTATTCCGCCTTACTCGGCTACGATGACGTGTGCACACTTTTCACGGCCGAAATATTAGAAAAATGTGGAGTGCACCGTATTACTGCAATTTCTGACGAAATGCCCCTGCTTAAAAAGGGCAGTTTGGACGAATATCAACGAAAATTGTTTGTCCAATTTGAATGTAGTGATACACTGCTTTACATAGCTTCACACAACGGCCACGAAAAAATTGTCGAATACTTGACGACACTCGGTGCCGAAATCCATCGTGCTAATTTCTGCGGTTGGACACCACTTCACGTAGCTTCCTTAAACGGCCATGAAAAAGTTGTGCAACATTTGACGACAGTCGGCGCTGAAATCAATGACGCTTCTAATGGGGGTTGGATACTACAATACGCAGCTTCACAAAATGGTCACGAAAAAGTTGTTGAATACTTGGCGACAGTCGGCGCTGAAATCAATCACGCTGTGAAAGACGGTTGGACACCACTTCATCTAGCTTCCTTCAACGGTCACGAAAAAGTTGTCGAATACTTGGCGACAGTCGGCGCCGAAATAAATTGCGCTGATAATGAGGGTTGGACGCCACTTCACATAGCTTCACAAAACGGTCACCAAAAAGTTGTTGAATACTTGGCGACAGTCGGCGCTGAAATCAATCACGCTGTGAATGACGGTGTGACACCACTTCATCTAGCTTCCTTCAACGGTCACCAAAAAGTTGTCGAATACTTGGCGACAGTCGGCGCCGAAATCAATCGCGCTATGAATGAAGGTGTGACACCACTTTACGCAGCTTCTTTCAACGGTCACGAAAAAGTTGTCGAATACTTGGCGACAGTCGGCGCCGAAATTAATCGCGGTATGAACGACGGTCGAACACCACTTTTCACAGCTTCACAAAGCGGTCACGAAAAAGTTGTCAAATACTTGGCAACGATCGGTGCCGAAATCAATCGCGCTGATAATTACGGTTGGACACCACTTTACGTAGCTTCCTTCAACGGTCACGAAAAAGTTGTCGAATACTTGGCGACAGTCGGCGCCGAAATCAATCGCACTACTAAAAACGGTTGGACACCACTTCACGTAGCTTCCTTAAACGGCCACGGAAAAGTTGTAGAACATTTGGCGACAGTCGGCGCTGAAATCAATCTGGCTGCTAATGATGGATGTACACCACTTCACGCGGCTTCCCACAACGGCCACAAAAAAGTTGTCGAATACCTGACGACAGTCGGTGCGGAAATCAATCGTACTGCTAAGAACGGTTCTACACCACTTGGCATAGCCTCCCTCAACGGCCACGAAAAACTTGTCGAATACTTTGCAGCAATCGGCGGCGAAATCAATTGTGCTAATAATAATGGTGTGACACCACTTTTGGTAGCTTCCAACAACGGCCACGAAAAAGTTGTCAAATGCTTGGTAACAGTCGGCGCCGACATCAATCAAGTTGCTAATTGTGGTTATGGACCACTTCACATGGCTTCCTTCAACGGTCACAAAAAAGTTGTCGAATACTTGGTGACAGTCGGCGCCGAAATCAATCGCGCTACTAATGACGGTTGGACACCACTTTACATAGCTTCCCGAAACGGTCACCAAGAAGTTGTTGAATACTTAGCGACAGTCGGCGCCGAAATCAATCGCGCTGATACTGACGGTTGGACACCACTTTACGTAGCTTCTCAGAACGGCCACGAAAAAGTTGTTGAATGCTTGACGACACTTGGTGCTGACATCAATCGCGCTGCTGATGGTGGTTATACACAAAGTGGTGGTGGTTATACACCACTTTACATAGCTTCCATCAACGGCCACGAAAAAGTTGTCGAATGTTTGACAATAGCCGGCGCAGATATCAATCTTGCTGATACCGACGGTTTTACACCACTTCATACTGCTTCCCAAAATGGCCACCAAAAGGTTATCGAATACTTGGTAACACATGGCGCCGAAATCAATTGCGCTAGGAAAGACGGTTGGACACCACTTCACGTGGCTTCCTGCGAGGGCCACGAAAAAGTTGTCGAATACTTGGCGACAGTCGGCGCCGAAATCAATCGCGTTCAGAATGAGACTTGGACAGCACTCCACATAGCTTGCAAACACGGCCACCTCAAAGTTGTCGAACATTTGTCAGCAGCCGGCGCTGAAATCAATCGTGCTGATGACGTTGGTTTAACACCGCTTAGTATAGCTTCACTAAACGGTCACGAAAAAGTTGTGGAATACTTGGCGACAGTCGGCGCCGAGGTCAATTGTGCTGCTATTGGTGGTTGCATTCCACTTCATTTCATTTTTCGGCTTCTTCGAATTTTTCGGATGCTTCGGATTCTTCGGACTTTCCGAACTTTTCGGATTTGACGGACTTATCGGACTCTTCGGGCCCTTCAGACTTTCCTGATTTTTCGCATTTTTCGGATTATTTTAATTTTTTTAAAATTGATTATTTCTTTATTTTGTCTGTTATCAATAGTGGTTTCAATAAAATAAATTAACGTTGTTGCCCGTTTTTGCACCACCAGCAATACACTCAATAATAGTTGATTTCCAACCGACAATGGCTAATATTTTTAATGCCCCAAGATATTATTTGGTCAATAACGTATCTACCTCAAATCCACCCTATTATAGACCAAAAATAAATCGGTAAGACATAGGAACACAAACGTCGGCAAACCATTTCATTGTTGCATAACTTAGTAGTTAATTAATAAATATTATACACCAAGTGAATCAAACATACGTTTATTCACGAGAAGATGTTGATTTCACGAGCACGCAGTGCGAGTCAGATCATTTCTTCGAGTGAATAAATATGTTTGATTCACGCGGTGTATATATGTTTTTATTCCATTTTGACGAATTTTATTAATAAAATTTCAAATTAACACTGAATTTTTGAAAGATATAATGAGAATTTAATTAATAAGTCCGGCCACTGTGATTATAACTTTCGAAAAATGTGGAAAATCTAGTACCTAAGAGAGAGGAAATCGTGCAGCTATTAATTTATCGTTAATTTATTGGAGGTAAGTTATATTTTGTTCCGTCTAGTTGATACACTGACATGCGGTAAATTCTAAATTTAAACCTTTTATTCCACACTAAGATTTTCAGTGTTCACTGTTGTAGAAACTGTGCTGGAAATAATATGTTCGTTATTTTAAAGCACCTATACAAATGTATGTAGTAAGTATAGTGGACCAAGAGCTATAAGGTTATATGGCCATCATAAAATCATCCTATTGTGTCGAAGTTAAGTTGTTTACAATAGAAAAGGTTTTAGGGTCGTAAATAATGTGTCCACTGCAGCTCGACCGCCTGTTGTGGTTTCGTTCAGGGGCGGCTTTCACTAAATATGAAAATCCACCACTCCACTATTTCTTTACTACCTCCAGCCGCTGAGGGTTCCGAAATAACCCCTCGCTTTGAAAGCCGGCCCTGTTAAATGTGAGCAAGAAATGTTTAGAAGACGAATTATTGCCAAGCGGTAAGCTTAGTGCGAACCACACAAAGGGGGTATTTATTTGCGGTCAACTACTTTTATGATGGTCATATAACCTTATACCTTTTGGACAAGTATACCTATTTATTTTCGTATAAGGAATCATTATCCATGTATATTTTTATCACAACCGTTATCCATAGTTGTACAACAAAATTGAAAGATAAAATTAGAAAATTTTCTTTACTACTTCATCACGTTTACTTTATCCACCTTAAAAAAATTTGATTATTACTACAAAAAAAGTTAAAATTTACCTATGATTTCTTGATTCTTCTCGCAATAATGCGAAATTAAAAAAAAAACTGGTAACAAATATAAAGTCTTTCTTAAAAACAAAACAGAATTGTGTTTTCTACAAAATTAAATAAACAAGAAGAGATGCATAGTACCGTTCAGTATTTCCAAAGATTGTCCGAGCTGACTTTTACGAAAAGTGGGAGCATGGAAACGGCAACACCACGATTAAGAAAAGGAAAACATAATTTAGGTAAAGAAGTTTTCTATTGTGAAAGCGAAATTTAAAACTAATCTTACAGAATCGACAAATATCAACAATCTCTAGTTGCAAAGAAAAGGCGTTGTTTATCCAGACTACACAAGTATTTGATCCTTCCTATTACGAAAGGCAACACATCCATATGAAGTTGAATAAAGAAGATAAGACAAAAGAACCAAACTCCCACAGTATTTATACTTTGGTTTTAGCTTTCTAGCAAAGTTATATGGAGTAATAGAAGATCCTTTACAAGATTCTCTTCGTTAATTTATTGGGCTGTTGACTCGTGCGATGCGACGTGTAAGTGGAAAATACAACCATTTCTTGTTTAATCTTCTCTCTGTGTTTGCATCATTTAAATCATAGTAAAACTATTTGATTATGCTTACAACATACAATGTTGTTTACACTTTTCGGAAGCAGAATGAGTATCAGAAATTATATCAATAATCATTTTTGTTTAATCATTTTGCATTTTTTTTGTTTACTTTTTTTAATAATAATAGTAAATCTGTTAGTGCTATTATCTTAAGTTTACACTTTTTCAGTGACAAACTAGGAGCAAAGTGCTAAAAATAGGCCATCTACTCCGCAGCCCTGGCAATCAGTGGATGGACCATCCTGAAGATATCGGAAATCTGTTTCAAGGCGTTCAGAGAAAATGCACCTACAACAGTCAGCGTCCTGGTCCTTCGGGAAATCATCTTGCCTGTCCTGGAATTGTTCGCCAAACTTATTCGTCCAAAAACTACCTATCTTAGAAATTGTAAATACTTATTACACATTGTTTTGAGAAAAGAGATTTAGTATTGACCAGACAGATTGTCCAACTTCCAAAACTGAATGTATCAGCAGAGCAAGTTTGGAAGTTTGATAAATCTTAATTGAAGTTAGAACGTAGAAAATTCTCGCCGTTTGTAATGACGGTAGTTGAACAGTGTGTATTTTGGATCAGATTTTTGTAAGCCTAATTGTACGGAGAGGATTTTCTATGTAGGGAATGAATTTACCGAACAAACGACTGCATGCGTCTGATTTATTACGTTGTTTTGTATCAAGTTGCTTGACTGCAAAATTTTGGACAAAACTTTACTACTGTCTAGGTTTTGAAGTGGTTTTTCGGTGAGTTCATTGTGCGAGTTGTATTTTTTTGTAATTTTTCTCACCTTAGTGTCTTATTGTCTTTGTTTCTTCTTATTAGTTGTTTGTTTGAACTTTATTTTTGTAAGGGCAAATAAAGGAGACTGGTCAAAACTATTCAGTAGTTTTATTCCAAAATTTTTACAATAAAAAAACAATTAATAATAAGAGCTGTGTGTTGATCAAAAAAGAAATAGAACAAGCTATATTTTGACAGAAGAAAATAAATTAAACATATTGTGGCATACAGAGGAGTATCCAATGCCATCTTCAAGAATTACTGCAAAACTATTTTGAAATATTTCTTTCTTCAGTTCGCACAGTTTTCATACAATCACTTACAAAAATTAAGTAATGTAATCAACATTCTTTTCGATTTTTCTTGTTTTCCTTTTGAAAGATATGTTCTTTGAGCGAATTTATTGAGCTTTGTATTTCAAGCAGCATTTTCTCCTGTTGTTCTAGTCTATTAATAAATTTGTCATTTGATCTCTCCGTTTGTTCAGAAAAAAACCGTTTAATTTTATCTAAACATTCCGAGCCCACATTCTCTGGTAAACCTTCACAATCTCCGGACTGTTTCTTCGAATTTTCAGGATTTTTGAACTGTTCCTTAGCGTTTACGTAAAAGTTAACATTATATTTATTCTTGTCGTCGAAAAAAAATAGTAATGGATTCGGTAAACGCAAAAATCGTGTCAGTCCTCTGCTCCGAAATTGTTTTTCAACAAACTCCAAGAAAGTGATGACGTTTTTGAAAGCATTAATCTCAGCGTGCTTTTCGATGCTACTTATGTCGCTGACAGCAACGCCGATCCAAAAATTGACCATAACTAAAGCCACAAAGATAGCGAAAAAGAAAAATATCAAATAATGGCCAGCGGTAGAAAAAACAAAATTTTCGTTCATGTTGAGCTCGCCGGTGGTCATAATGTAAGTCACGAAAAGCGACGTCCAGAAGTTTTCAAAGAACCCTTCCTCATTGAAGAGCAGAAGAAAGGAAACCGCAAAGGCTGCCAATATTAGGGAGAAAAATAACATCAAGTAAGTGAAGGTTTGAAACACTTTTTTCAACATGGCTGACCATTTTGCGATTTTTGGGTGATAGCCGACTGTTAGAAGAAACAAGACGGACATTTCCACGAAAGCAAAAGCTCGACAAGCGATCTGGAAAAACGCTCCTATAAGTGTTAACATAAGTAGAATTTCTATGATTTCGTAGAGCGTAGGACGTTGCCGTTTTCCACGGAAATAAGGAGCTACAATAAACGGAATCTTTATAACGAAGTTAACAACGACTAAGCAAACACACGTCCAAAAAATCCCGGAGGGAATTTCACATAACGCGTAAAAAGATGGGCTCAAGGTGATGAATAAAAAAAATTGTAGAATTAACAACAACCGGTGGTAAAAAGCGACTTTGGACCATTTCAACACAAGAAACGTGTGAAGCAACGGATGAGTCAACAGTTCGCGCAAGTTTTTATTTTTTGCAATTTTAGAAATAATTTTGATTTCGTCACTTGAAGATGATACCAATGATTTGAAGCGGAGTTGCATTTTGTACTTCTCTGAGCCGAAATCGTTATAGTTGTCTAAGGCTAAAGAAGCGTCAAAATGTGCCTTAAGATCGTCAACTCTGATCGTGTCTAGAACATCCTTACCAGCTTCATTTATAACGTCCAACACATTCTCCGGCTGTTTGAGTAGTTTTTGGATTGCTTTCTTGTGGGTAAAACGTACGGCATAATGAAGAGGCGTGTTTCCGGTTTTTTGGCAAATAAACTTTGCTTCCAGCTTGTCCGATTCTAAAAACATTTCGAAATGCTTTCGTTTCACGTGTGCTGGATACCACTTTGCAAAGTGACTGAACATTTCTTCTGTTATTTCTAGCTTTTTGTTCTTCAGGATTTCTTTGAAGCTTCGTTCGTGTTTTTTTTTTCGAACTGCTATTTCTAGAGGTTTCATTGTGTATATCTCGGTGACTTTGTTCGGGTTTGCACCCTGTTCCAGAAGAAATTTTACTACAGCATGCATTTTGCCAGACTTTTTACAAGCGAACTGTAGCAGCGTACTTTCTCCGTTATCACAGTCGACGAACTGACATATGTTCTTAAACTTCAAAAACTCTTCAATTTTCTCTTTACCTATCCAACAAAAAAGCTGATTAATCGTATCATCATCACTATACTCATGTTGCTCGGATTCAGTTGGCATTTCCATGAGCTGTCTCGTTTCTTCTTTCAAAAGTTCCCACAATATACCCTTTTGTTTGAGTTTATCGATGAGCTGCTCAAGTTTTCTTTTAATCTCTTCTTGACAATTATTTCTCTTGTACAGAAAGGCAACATGTTCCACAGCTGTGGCTCCGTTGAAGTCGGGTTTATTTATGTCAATGCCCGCTTCTAGCAAAAGATCTACGCAATCAAAAAAATTTTCCTCGAAAATGTTAGCATGTTTTAGGGTATAAGTTAAAATCGAATCAGAATATCTGGGCGTATTAAGTAGTTCACGACTGCAGCTGCTAATTTTTTCTTTTAGAACTTCTTTATTGCAAATAGCCGCAGCAAAAAAACATAAATCGTATACATCGCCCCCATTTTGTCTACATAGTTCAAACGACACTTTTAATAGTTCTGCTCGAATCTTGTTCTTGAGGTTGCTTTTAGCTAGCTTTGCCTCTTTGGTTTTTAAAAAATTCAAGGTTTCGATGAATTGACGACTATTTGATGAAGTTGATGAAACGAAGTACAATTTCAGCGATTCTATTTTACTGTCGTCTATTTTCTTCTCATTACAAACGGTGATTATTTTTCGAAAAAGTTTGAAAAATAGCATCAGATCATATTTTTCTACAAAGAAAGTGATTACATAGTTAATTTATTAATGTAAATTCGACGTACCTTGTTGTTGAGGGACTTGCCCCATTTCCATAAGATTTTCATTTTCACCCATTTCGACTTTTTAACACACAGTGTTAAAGTTCTAATCCTCCTACACTGTTTTTGTAAAATATTTCGGGTTGTTGCTTTTTGGAGTGACGCCTTATTAATCGGATAACATAACACTGTCGAGAGATAAAATTATTACCAGCATTGTCACTAATTGTCAAAAAACAAACTAACAAAAAGAATTTTATAACTAATAACCATATGTAATAACAGAGATGCGACTGAAAAGTGAACTGAAAATCACTTATGGTAAATACTCGTAATTTAAGACAAATAGCGATAACGCTTGTCAAGCTGTAGACGTGAGAGTGAAACAGAAACTAAACTAAAAGATGTTTTCTACGAATTGCAATAATCGGATCACAATGCTGCCGGTCGAGACTTTTTTTATTCCTCTGACTGTTGTAATTCACATTTGGTTAATGAAATATCGAGAAAATATGAAAGTACCAAATTACCCGATGGACTCCGTTACTGTACGTCTTTAGCTTATCCTCAGTAAGAAAAACAACTTGAAAGTATTTATGTTTATACTTCGGAAGAATGTCACATAGAAATTAGTTTAATTTGAACGAGTTCGTCCCCTCAAAACAAAGGATTAAAACTATTAAGAATATAGTAAGCTACAATCGACCAAAGTGTTCTCAATTTCATTATTATAATTCTTATTAAATAAAGATACAATGGGGTGACTCGTTCTTAATTTGATCAATTAAAAATTTTAATGCAATAATAAATCACACGTAAAAAAACATCATATTTTACAGGATTTGGTGCAATATTTTAAAGTAACGTCATCAATTTTTTAGGGGGGATGAGCAAATATATTTTGATTAAAAATTTATTATGCTTATCATAACTTTAAAATACCTGCAAGATTTCAAATGATGAAAGGTCGAGAAAACGTAAAAGTAGAATCGGTCAATTCTTCCTTCGCATATGCTCGGGAAGCAAAATTAAAAAATTTCTGGTTTTTTAGTGAGATTAATTTTAAACTGATAATAATTACGTGTAGTATACTACTTAAAATGTGCAATAAATACTAACTATTTGCATTAAAAATACTTACATTTTAAATTCTGATGAAATAAATACTTAGAATGAGCTATGAATGAGGAGAGCATTAAAAGTTACTGACAATCTTAATCAGTAAATATCTTATAAGTAGTGTACCGCCTTGCTTAAACCGACGATAAAAATCAAGATAATGCTTAATATACATTTTTAAATTAGCACTCCCAGACTGATATCACCAAGCAATTTGTTGTTTGTTTCGATGGAAATTTTTTTTTTGGTTCATTTTAGATAAGATTAGTTGAAAATTATCTTACTTTTATCAACACGCATCCTGAAACATATCGAGAGATCCGAACTTACGTAATTTCTTTACCATTTTCCACCAGGAATCAGGTAATCAGAAAATCTGACTGCAGCATTAGTTCGTGATTTTTTAACAATCAAATATAAACAACGTTAGTGCCTGAAAATCTTACTACTGTATTAATGTGCCATTTTTAACAATCATGTGTAAACAGAGTTGTCTAAAATTACCTTTTAGAACCAAAGTTATATCGACTTGTTATATGATCTCAAAATTCACTCAGTTGGTTTGTCAAAGTAGATACTTACGTTAAAATTAAAATTAGAAATTAGAAAATTCTGCTAATTCAAGTCAGTACCTGATAATTAAATCACATTTTATAATTTTTTAAAAAAGCTGATAACTAAATATGTTACTTCGTTTTAAGAGTATTTATTGTCTTATCAAAAAAAAAAAACACCCAATCGAGTACCGCTTATATATAAATACAAAAGCCTCATCTCTGAATGCTAGTTTACTGTACAAGTGTTGCTATTAAACATTCTTCTTTGATCGGTGATTGAAACTTTAATCATGGGGGAAGAATTTGAGGTGAGTGTTTCTCCATAGGTGAAATCTATCAACACACATGTAAATCCAAAAACTTGGATAGTTAAATTGTTTACGCTTTACAAACATATATTATTTATATAAAAAAAGTTTATCCACAACTTTATAGTAAAATGATAATTACCTCACTCATTTTAAGCGGTATAACTCACTCGGGAGTGTTTTATTGGTATAAAACTTCGGTCTTCTCTGTGTTAAAAACACTCGTTGGTTAACATTTTTCTCGTGGAATATATCCAACCTTTCTAATTTACGCAAAAATACTGAGTTGTCCTAGAAAATAGTAGAAAATGTATTACTTTTCAAAACAGTTGTTCGTTATTCGTTTCCAGACTTTTAAAAAGAAGGCCGGAACCACGGGTAAGGGAAAAGACTATGAGGATATAGCTGTCGCCAAAGCTGTCCTAGATCTACTTAACAACTCCCAAATCCACAATTTTCATATTTCATCAAAGACGCAGCCTTCGGTACATTCGACGATCTAATCGTCAAACTTAAATCGATTGAAACAAACGAAGTACGAGTAACAGCTATGCAGCTAAAGCACGTCAGTGGAAATAAACAGTTGTCCACAAAAGAATTAGGAAAGAAACAAGGAAATTTCAGCATACAGAAATATTTCAACAGTTTTCGAGAAATAAATGAAGACGTACATGAATTTATCCTATTTACCAACCGATCATTTAAGTATCGAGACAATACAACGATTCAACTAGATGAAGAAGAATTTTCTATTAAACCCGTAAAAGTAAACGCTATTTTCGAATTTTCAGAGAAAATAGACTGTGCGTATCAGTTTCGAATACTAGAAGACGATTGGAATGTAGCAACGCTTCTCAAAATTCGAGAATACCAAAATTTTTTTAGTAAATTTTATATTTACACCGATCAAGAAAATGTTGAAGATATGAAAAAAACGGCAGCTGAAAAATTCACCAAAACGTATTCTTCGAGTGAGGAAGTATTCGAAAAATCTTGTTTGTTACTGTTTTCTTCACTTGTGCGCCGATTTTTGAGCATCCTGTATATTACGTGTCAATAAAACAAAATGCTACGTATAACTTCTTCTTTAACGTGCGATTAGTGTGGGTGTACAGTGCAAATTGCTCCGCTGATTTTCAGTTATTTTGCTTGATCTTCTGTGCTTTATTTTGACGTGAGTTATACGGATTTGTAGCTTTTTCTGAGTTACATTATTGGTCTATTTTTTTGACCCTTATCTGTCACCGTGGTTGAAGTATTGTTTTACTAAACTTCAATCAACGTTAACCTTTTATCCAGCCACGCACCTTATCGCGTTTTTTGTGAATCGGTATTCTTTTTATCAGCAGCATATTTTTGGGTGTTTAACCTTTGTTTATTCATTTTTACCTACCCGTGACCCTCTTGTTTGTCAAAGTAAGCCACCTTGAAAGGTCCCTAGGTGCAAAGTGTCCCAGTGTGTTCCTAACATAGATTTCCATAATGATCTGCCCGAATTGTGACAACTCCGTTAAAACTAATGAAACTAAGCTTCCAATGTGATGCCTGTCAGAAACATTTACACGCTAAATGCATAGGATTATCTGAAAACGATGTGAAAATGACCAGGTCTAAGTCAAAATCTATCAAGCTTATATGTAATTCTTGCGAAAAAAATTTAAATACGCTCAGCGATTTAAAATCTCTCATTTCTAACATCCGTGCTGAATTTACCTCTTCACTTGACGATCTGAAAACCACCTTCCAGCAACAAATAAACGATTTAAAATCGATGATAAACAATCACCACCAACCTAATCCTGCTCAGCCCAATTTTGAAGACGTGGTACAAGAGGTTGTAGAGAGACAAAAACGAAGTAAAAACGTCATGATTTACAATGTTCCCGAGCAGCCTGAAACAATGTCTCGTGATGAGCGTTTAATGTCTGAGACGACTGACATCTCTAACATCTTGCAAGTAGCTAGTAATGATGTAAATATCGCTAATATTCGTTTACAGAGGTTAGGTAAATTTATTCCTGGTCGCTGTCGCCCAATTAAGGTCTTCCTTCAGTCTGAAGTGGAGGTATTAAACATAGTTAGAGGCGCTAAAAATCTCAGCACCAGAGATATTTATAAAAACGTTCGGTTGTCTTTCGATAAAACACCTAAACAACTCGGAAACTTGAAGCTACTAAAATCTCAAATGCTGGAAAGAATCAACAATGGTGAAACGGGACTGAAGATTCGGCATTTCAATGGTGTTCCTCGCATAATTCGTCATTTAAACTAAATACTGCACCTGATTATGATTCCAATACTCATTTTTTTTACCAGAATGTACGTGGCCTGCGTTCAAAAGTTCCTACTTTGTATAATAATATTTGTTCTTCTTCTTTTGAATTTATCGCACTATCGGAAACCTGGCTTTCTGAAGATATATTGAATAGCGAATTATTTCCAGATAATTATTTAGTGTATAGAAAAGATAGAAATTTTGCTGCAACTAATGTCACAAAAGGAGGTGGAGTTCTTATTGCAGTTCTTAATACATTTGTTTGTTCCGAGATTGATTTATCGCATATCACGTCAACTTTACCAATAATAGACATACTTGGACTAAAAATTAAATCTTCATGTGGACTCTCTCTATATGTCTTCGTTGTCTATGTTCCTCCTTCAATTAACCTCAATGATTATGAGCTCTTTTTGAATTTATTCAGTGCTGTTGAAGAATCTCATATGGATAATGTTGTTGTTCTTGGTGACTTTAACGTACCAGATTTTTCAGCCAATTTAGATAATAGAGCCACAATTTTGCTCAAAAATTTTGCGAATTTTCATAATTTTTCTCAGTACAATAATATCTATAACAAATTCAATCGCTTTTTAGATCTGCTATTCTCTAATCTTCATTGCTCTGTAAAACAGTCGGATCTTCCCCTTGTACCAGAAGATGACTACCATCCTGCATTAAATATTTCATTTCACTTTATAATAAAATCTTCTGGTCATTTTCTTATGAATCCAGATTCAAGCTGTTTTAATTTTCGTAAAGCTAACTTCAAATTATTATACGATTTACTTCTTTCTACTGACTGGTCTTTTTTGGAAAACGTAACTAACGTTAATACAGCATGTTTTGAATTTTATCAAGTTTTAAACAAAATCTTTGAGGTATCTGTCCCTAAGTTTAATTTCAAAAAGGAAGGTCATCGATATCCCCCGTGGTTTGACTCAGAGGTTATCAAAATGCTACGTTTGAAAACGCTTTTTCATAATAAATTCAGACAATACAAAAGCCAGTATTTTTATGATGCTTTTCAGATCTAAATGCAAGTCCTTGATTCAATCCAACTATCTCAGATACTTAAACGAAGTTCAGTCGTCACTCACGTCCAACCCTAAGAGGTTTTGGTCCTATGTTCAGACTAAAAAAGGAAAGTCCAGAATTCCAGCAATCATGAAATTTTCTGATCAAGAACTTCAGACACCACCTGAAATTGTTAATGCTTTTGCTTCTTTCTTTAAAAGCGTATACGTTATTTCTGACTCTTCTTACTCTTGTGTTTTAAACCAAAGTGATTTGAGCAACTCTACAATACAAATTGAGAACATAACAGAAGATGAAATACTTGAAGTGTTAAAACGATCCAAAGATTCTCTAATCGCAGGTGTAGATAACATTCCCAGCTTTATCGTAAAAGACTGTGCATCGATCTTTGTAAAACCTCTCCATTCTCTGTTTAATCTTATTATTAAGACTTCGTATTTTCCTGACATCTGGAAAGAAGCGACAGTTACTCCAGTATTTAAAAAAGGCGATCCGTCTATGATTGAAAATTACCGACCAATATGTGTTCTCTGCAACTTTTCAAAAATTTTTGAATCTGTTATTTATAAACGTTTGTATTTTTCGGTTAAGTTTAATCTCGCCCTTCCAGCATGGTTTTGTGGAGAAAAGATCTACGGTTACGAATCTGTCTTGTTTTACTCAGTATGTTTCAGAGGCTATTGATCAAAATAACCAAGTAGATGTTATCTACACAGATTTTCGTAAAGCCTTTGATCAGATTGATCATTATGTACTACTTCGTAAACTAAATCATTTCGGATTTTCGGATTCTCTACTCCTGTTGCTTGAATCATACTTACTTAATAGAAAGCTTTCAGCTAAATACCGTAATTTTGTTTCCGAGGCATTTTGTCCTACGTCGGGTGTCCCGCAAGGGTCCAATCTTGGTCCCTTGCTTTTTTTACTATTCGTCAATGATGTCGTAAACTCTTTGACTTGTCAAAAGCTACTATACGCCGATGATCTCAAAGTTTTCTTATCTATTAGTACCCTTCGAGATTGTGAAATCTTGCAGCACAATTTGGATCAGTTAACTTCGTGGACCATAAAAAACCGGTTATTCTTAAACAAAGACAAGTGTTCCAGAAAACTAACCAATATAGTTTATGAATACTCTATTGAAGAATTTAATTTGGTTAGACTGGATACGTATAAGGACTTAGGCGTTGTCTTTGACAGTAAATTCTTCTTCAAAAATCATATTGTGGAGTGTACGACTAGAGCGTATAATATGTTTGGGTTTATTTATAGAAACTGTTCTGAGTTCTCGAACGTTCAATCGTTGCTTACGTTGTATTACTCATTTATACGTTCTAGACTTGAGTATGCCGCTGTTATCTGGTTTCCTATAATCCTATATATTCTACTTACATTCAATTACTGGAGTCAGTTCAACGCAAGTTTCTCAAATTTGTAGTATTTTTAGTTGATGGGATTTACCCTCCTCGCGGATATAATCATGGCGTTTTACTAAGCAGATTTAACTGCAATTTACTTAGTACTAGACGGGTAATTTCAAGTGTAAAACTTCTCCACAGCTTAATTAGTAATATAACTGACTGTACTTATCTGTTCAATAAAATTGTATTCTTAGTTCCTCGGTTAAATGCTCGAAGTTGCCGTACGTTTTATTATAGTACTAGCAGAACAAATGTTATGACTAGATCACCACTTGTTATAATGTGTAGTAATTTTAACTTAATTAGTGATTTATGTGACATTAATAATGATCCTTTTAGTTACATATCTAACGCTTTAATTTCTTATTTAGAGAATTAGGGAGTATTGTTTGATTTATATTCTGACCTTTTATTATAAATTCAGCATTGTATTTTTTTTTTCCTTATTCTTAGTGCTACAGTTTGTACCATTATGCCTACATTGTTTTTCTGTTTTTGTTTCCTGTAATTGGGTGCTTACCCGTTGGAAATAAACATTATTATTATTATTATTAATAATATTATTAATATTATTATTATAAACCATTAAGTATGTTTTCAGATAAAGATAGGACATGCAAAGTTAGTAATTTAGTTGGCAACCAATTTTGTATATGCAAAGATCCCTAGTGAAAAATGAAATTTATTATATTAAGTTGATTTTAATGTAAGGTTCGGTTAGGAAATCTGACAAAAAAACTACGATTCAAAGCACTGAAGTAAACAATTATTATTTCAGTATTTAATAACCATAGTCAGTGGCACTAGGTATGATTAAATTTAAAATTCATATTTGAATGAGTAAGAATTAAGTTTTAAATCTAATAATCCGTATCATAACATTTTTGGTTTGGTGTTTTCATATGGAACGACCCCAAAGCAAATAACTGTAAGCAATTGGAACCTCTTTTCCGAATAATACTGAATTTAGTAAAAGTTATTAATGCAAATACATTTACGACAAATAAAATGAGATTTTCTAACAGAAAAAAAGTAGCAGAATTGTGTTTTCTCTGTAATTAAATAAACAAAACACGATATATTGTACCGTCCAGCATTTTCAAAGATTATCCGGACTGAATTTTTCCGAAAGCTGGGAGCACGGAAACGACAATGCCATGATTACGACAAAAGAAACAATAGTTTTGGTAAATAATTTTCATATGTATAGTGAAAACTAAATCTAAAAGCAACCTTACAGAATCGCTTCTTTCCGGACATCGCAAATCGCTGCTCACAAAATAAGTCGTAGTTTATTCCAATCTCTATATTCAATCCTACTACGAAACGAAACGCAAATGACGCAGAATAAAGAAGGTAAAAAAATAATAACACACATCTTTAGTATTAATACTTTGATTTTATATTTTTTAGGAAGATCCGTTACAAGATATCACCTACTAAATATCACGAGGATATTAGCTGATGTTTCGATAAAATAGTGTGACGGTCTCAGGAATCGTCGTTCAAAGACAACATGAAAATCACCAAAACAATAACTTTGTCTACCTTGGTTTATTTTATTGTTGACTTCCTGAGATGGCTGAGTAAAAACTATAATCATTTTTTGTCGTATTTTTTTATATAGTAATAAATTTATTATTTTTAATTATTGTTTATACGTGTTTTTATGTTAAATTTTTTTCAATAATAATAGTGATAAATCTACTTACTTTTAACAGTTTTTCAGTGGGGCATATTAATACAACAGTCCTTACAATTGACGGACAATGTTCAAGGGAAATACAGCTCACAATAACCACTTCACTTATCTATCACTTTCCACCCAAGAGATGCAAATAACTGTCACTTTCCACCCAATAGATAGAAGTGAATGTCACATGCGACCCTCAAACGTTACGTATGTGTAATTAATGGTAGCTGAAATGTAAATGTGATTGTAAATGTAAGGAGACCCTGTGATCAAGACTTCGCCACTTTTTGATTGATGCCCCCATTTAATTTCACATTATTATCACCGGCCATTACCTTGAATTTGACGTTTGGCAATGTTAAAAGTTGAATTTTATTAGCAATTTGCGGGATAAATCTACTTAAAACGATTGTGTATAAAATAGTATAGAAACCTCGGCAAAAATACCATTCCTGTGTTTCGAGAATTAGTTCACCCTGAGGCATTTATATTCTTGAGTGTTTAATTTATATGTTGTATAAATATACCCAACAATTAAGCATGTTATTCAGATGGATTTCCTCAGATCAAGCAAAACTAGAAATAGCACATTTTAGTATTGTATATATTAAGTTTAACAATGTTCTACCATTATGTACAAGAGAGTAGTTTTATAATCTATAAAAAGAAAATCAAAATGTGTTTAACTGATAACGCTTTCTATAGCTTTGATTAATTTTTTGAATATTGCTCTGTGCATAAAGGTTTATAATTATATACTTATTTCATTCATTATTTTATTATACTATTTTTATTAGACAAGTGCATTTTTTTTTTGTAAATTTAAGCATAATAAAGCATATTGTTATGTTATTATCAAAATCCAAAAATGCTCAAAACACCAAAATCCGAAAATCCTCAAATCACTAAAATCTCAAAATTCTCAAAACACCAAGCTCCTCAAATGGTCAAAACACCAAAAGCTTAAAATCCTTAAAATATCAAGATCTTGTGACATTATTATATTGTTGGTTTCAATCTTAACTACGACTAGCCTCAACTAGTCGCCTATCTTCACAAACAACATAGGCAAATGTGATTACCCATACTCTTTGGTTTGCATTAGAACAAAGGAAACGCTTAATCAAGAGTAATCTCAAGCGGTACTTACCGATAATAAATGGCTCCGAACTTCACTATAATCCTTAAATCCCTTGATGATACTTCGATGAGGCTGCAAGAATCGGCATCGGCGTACACGGTTTTCCTACCATCTTTCAGCTAGTCAAAATGGGTTCGTTGGTAAGATCCGCTCTTATCGATGGTCGTGGCGACTATTCGCAATGCCTTTATATTAACGCCCGATAACCCCCAAAATTATATGCGGATAACATTTTCATGTTACAAGACTGTAGGGTGGCTCAGTCACTTAGGGGCTTAGTTACTTGGTGACTTAGTGATTTAGAGACCTAGTGGTTTGGTAACTGATTTTTTGACTGACTGATTGGCTGACTGAGTCTGTGACCTAGTGGCCTAGTGATCCAGTCACTAAGTCACCTAGTCAGTCAGTCATTACGTCAACGTCAGTCAGTCACTGAGTAACTCAGAGATTGTCTGTGACTTAGTGACCGAATATTATATCAGGTTAGGTCAGATCAGCTTAGAGTTATAAATCCACAAAAAATCCTAGGAAGTTTATATGGCTTAATTTCACTTCTGGACCTCCTTCTGACATTTTCACTTCTTGACCTCTAGACGCCTGGAGCTCCTATGTTCAAAATTGTAGTAAAAAATCAATCTAGAGGTTTTATACAGGACTTCACTCAGCGGTGGCTTAATGTTTGTCAGGTCATGGCAGCTCTGGTCAGATTTTTGGTGACTTTGATTTGTCTATAAATTAGTATTTGTTGTCTAAGAAAGTGGATTCGTTTAATTTTACTTTAAGGAAAATTAGCCGAATTTTTTAACAACCAGATATAAACAAGGTTGTCTAAAATTGTACTCTAATTAACACTAAGATTATGTCAGCTTATAATTCATTTGTTTGGCTCGTGATCAACACTTAAGTTAGTGCTACAAGTTGGTTCCTTGAAAACAAAATAATTTGTAAAACAATAAGCACTTGTACCTTAAGTTGAATGAAAACACAATAATATCTTAAATTATTTCAGCTGCTTTAAAAAATATTTAGAAATAGATGGATAATCTCAAGAATCTGTTTAAATTCTACTGCAATATATCAGTTTATGATAAATCCTTATCTAATTAAAAATGCCACTTTATTTTTAGACGAGTGTTTATTATCTGATCAGTGATCAAAGATGAATAGGTTTTCAGTTTAGTGTCGCTTACATACAAATAGAAAGGTGTTACTTCTTTATACTAGTTTACTGTAAAAGGGTTGCTGTTAAATATACTTTTCCAACTGTGAAACTTTAAACATGGAAGAAGAATTTGAGGTGAGTGTTTCTCCATATATATGATTTATCTATCTGTACACACGTAGGTAAACCCAAAAATTTGGATAGCTAACTGTGTTTTTACCCTGTGTACAATGTATTGTATAAAATTGCGATTTTTATATTTATGAATTTATGGACCATAAAATTGCCGTTTTTGTTGAGGAAAATTGTTTCTAAGTGGAAAGTTTCAATAACACATTTATCATTATTTTATCAAACAAATAAACACTAAAAATAAATCGAATAATAATAGAGATATTATTTATCGTAATAACTTGAAGTAATGTAAATTTCTATTTTTCTTGGTCGTACAAACAGGAACATTATTAATTAATAATTTTACAATTCATTTTCAAAGGAGTTGTAGGTGTATTTGTCCCTTTCCAGAGTTTTCAAAAAAGGGCCGGTACAACGGATAAAGGTAAAGATTATGTGGATGTGGCTCTCGCCAGTGTCGTACTACAACTAATCAACGAACCAATAAATAACTTCCAAATTTCATCAAACGACGAAGTCTTTGGGACATTCAGCGACCTGATCATTAAACGGAAATTAGCTACAGAAAACGAAGTACGGGTAACAGCGTTGAAGTTGAACCATGCCGAAAACAGAGATCTGTCCACAGATAATTTCAAAAAAGGAAACTTCAGCATTACAAATTATTTCAGAAGTTTCCAAAAAACAAATAAACACGCAGACGAATTCATACTGTTTACCAACCGACGATTTACGTGTGACGACAACACAACATTTCAACTGGATGAAGAAGAATTTTCTGTTAAACCTGTTAAAGTAAAAGCTATTTTCGAATTTTCGGAGAAAATAGACTATGCGTATCAGTTTCAAATAGTAGAAGAAGATTATAATGTAGAAACGCTTCTCAAAATTCGAGAATATCAAGATTTTTTTAGTAAATTTTATATTCACACTGATCAAGAAAATGTTGAAAATATGAAAAAAACAGCAGCTGAAAAATTCACCAAAACGTATTCGTCAAGTGAGGAAGTATTCGAAAAATTCCTCACAAGAGTATCTGAGTGGAACTTCCAAGAAGAGAACAAAGAAAAGTTAAACAAAAAGTGGATGGAACGGCTGATTGCTTTGCTTCTTCTATCTTCCAACCTCAAACCTTTATCTTCCGGTCCAGTTAATGAGAAATTCGTTAATGAGAGAGTGGCGATACTTCAAGAAGCCATTTCCATTTTCCATATTACACTATTTGAAAAAAAGTCGTATGAAAAGCTTAAATACATGTGGGATGAAATGAGAAAAGAAAATAAGTTTGACATTGGAGACTTAAACAAAGTGAGAGAAAGGTACCTTCCTACAGTCAAATGTTTTGATAATGCCAATTTTAACGAAACGGATCCAAGAATATTGATGCAACTGTTGTGGTTAATGGACAAATGTCCACTAATAATACACGAAAACGAAAACGTCGAAAAAGCCATCCAACTCTGTCCCGATAAAAAGTTTATCTTGATTGGCGAAGGCAAGAAACAGGCCTGGATGGAAGAAAACTATTCCGTGTTCCAAAATCTGTCAAATTTGAATTCGAAGCCAGACTTGCGCGAAAAAATCATGCAAAAATTTACCGTATCGATTCAAGGAAAAAAAGAACGTGATCTTGTCGAAACTTTTGGCAGTAATGAAGAATTGTTAGGCAGAGTTACGACGGATAATTTGTTGGAAATGTTAGACGGTCCATATCGTGTATGTGGAGCAAAAGAAACACTTCCTGAACCCTATATCGAACGCTGTATCTCGCGAAATGTTGTAAATACCACATATCTAGAAAAAGTGCACGAAAACACAATTATTGTTTTAAATTGCGCCAGTAATTTTGATAAGGTTAAAGACAAACTCAGCAAACACAAATGTATTGACATCAATAACGTTTTACAAGAAAAAAAAGACAATGTCGAAAATCGAAAAAATAGTGAATCTAATTTTGATAGACACAAAAATAACTTATATGCTAATACAATCTACGTAGGTTATAAGCACTATAGTGACGATGAACTTCATCAAATTTACGACAAACATACAGAAACTAAATCAATTCATTATTTTAAAATTTTGGAAGACGGGAATTTAGAATGGATTCAAAGCAAAGGGGATGTAAGTGATCTAAAGAATTATAACTTGTCTAATACATATTTTACGAACGAGAACGAGTTGTGGTCTTTACGGTTAGATAAAAACATCAAACTAATAACAGGTGAGGCGGGAATGGGCAAATCGGAATTAATGAAAAGTTTAAAAAATAAAAGTCCGCCGGAATACTGGACAGTTATAATTAATCCCGACGATGTTAACTTATTTTTTCACAATTCCGATTTTTCTAAGCCAGCAGATTATCCAAATTTATTTAAAAAGTTTATCACGAACGAAAAATATCGCTATCTCGATAAACTTGAACGAATGGTTTTCGAAAAGTGTGTTAAGGAAAATAACGTTATTTACGTGTGGGACGCCCTCGATGAAATTGTAGCAGAACATTTAGAAGTCGTGTCGGAAATAATCTTCAATCTGTCAAAAAAACAAGTCAGTCAGTGGGTTACTAGCAGATGCCATTTACAAACATATTTAGAAAACAAATTCAGTTTACTTTCACTCAGTATAAATCAGTTTAGCGAACAAGAACAACAAAATTACATTAGAAAACGCCTAACTAATTTCGATATTTCCGCAGACAAAATTGACTTCACGTTCGAAAAAATCAAATCATCTTTTGCGGTTGTCAAAAACGTAAACATTTTGGGAATCCCGCTTCAAATTTTCATGCTCACCGAATTGTTTCGTCAAAATAACGAAAAATATTTTAAACTGACGGAAAATACGCTTCTGTTGACCGACTTATACGAGTATTTTATTCAAGAGAAGTTTATTAGTTTTTACAGGGATAAAAAGAAAGTCGATTTTAATAATCCTTACCTAGAAAATTTAGTTAATAAAGAAATAGAAACGATTGTAGATAGTTTGGAAAAGTTGACGTTGAAGATAATATTTCCTCAAGATATTTTACGACAAATAAATATTGATTTCGAAATCGAGTTGGCAAAAATTAAAGATGAAGAGGCTTGTCTGAGTCTTGTAGTGGGATTCCAGAATAATGTGCCGCGTTTTGTTCACGGTTCATTCGCGGAATACTTAACGGCTAGCTACCTATCAAGGAATATTCACAATTTTAAAGACAAAATAATTTGGAACACCATATTTGACGCCAGGTGCGATAACGTTCGTTTCTTTTTTGACATGTTGTTAGCTAAAAACTCAAAAGCTCACATCGCAGTTTTGTACAAAGATTACGAATCACTTAGAACTTACGACGATGAAATTTTAAAACGTAAAGATGAGGGTGCTAGAAGCGTTCTACATCTGCTTTCGTCATGGGGGCAAAGACATCCGCGCCTACAAGAAGCAGCTATAAATGAAAATTTCGACAAAAAGCCCGAAAGCGAAGAATATTTTAAAACGGTAACATTTTTGAAAGACAAGAACGATATTGGCGAACTTGACAAATTACTAAATCTGACGCCTTTGCTTTATGCCAGAAAAAGTGAGAGCTTAGGGGCTGAACTAAAATTACTTCAAACAAACAAAACCGACTTGAATAAAGCATGCAATAGCACAGACATGAAATATATTTTTTATTATTCGGCTTTATATGGCTACGAAGACGTATGTCAATTTTTAACAGTCGAACATTTAAGTAAATTTTGGAGCGATTTGAATTTTTCTACTTCACAATTCGCATTAACATTCCTAATACGGGCTTGTGAGCTAGGAAAATTATCCATTGTTGAATTTTTAGTAAAATCTGGTGTCGATATCAATCACGCTAACAAAAACGGCTTCACACCACTTCACACAGCTTCTCTAAATGGCCACGAAGGGATTGTCGACTATTTAAAGAAAAACGGCGCCGAAATCAATCGCCCTAATAGAAATGGTGAGACACCAGTGTATACAGCTTCCTTACGCGGTCACGAACAAGTTGTTAAGTCCTTAGCAACATCCGGTGCCAATATCAATCTTGCTGATAAAAATGGTTGGACACCGCTTCACGTAGCTTCACTAAACGGCCACGAAAATATTGTCCAATACTTAGCGACAAATCGCGCTGAAATTAATCGCGTTGACAAAGAGGGTTGGACACCACTTCACATTGCTTCTTGCCACGGACAGTTAAAGGTTGTCAAATACCTAACAACAAAAGACGCCGAAATTAATTGTCGCAATAAAAACGGTCGGACACCACTTCACTTAGCTTCCGAAGACGGCCACGATGAAGTTGTCAAACACTTGCACAAATCCGGCGCCGAAATCAACCGTATTGACAATTCCGGTTGGACACCACTTCACATAGCTTCATTCCGCGGCCACGAAAAAGTTGTCAAATATTTGGCTACAGTTGATGACGAAATCAATCGCGCTCAAATCGACGGTTTGACACCAATTCATTTAGCTTCGCTCCAAGGCCACGAAGGAGTTGTCAAACACTTGAAGACAATCGGCGCCAAAGTCAATGGCACTAATGAAAACGGTGTGACGCCACTATACGTGGCGTCACAAAACGGTCACGAAAAAGTTGTCGAATACTTAACGACAGTCGGTGCCGGAGTCAATCACGCTCTGAACAACGGGTCGACGCCACTTTACATAGCTTCATCAAACGGCCACGAGAAAGTTGTCAACTATTTGGTAAAACACGGTGCCGAAATCAATCACGTTTGTAACGACAGTTTGACACCACTTCACATAGCTTCACAGCACGGCCACGAAAAAGTCGTCGAATCGTTAGTGAAAGCAGGCGCCGAAATCAATCGCCCCAATAGTGATGGTCGGACACCACTTTTCATGGCTTCTTACAACGGCCACGAAAAAGTTGTCGAATTGCTTGCCACAGCTGGCGCGGAATTTAACTGCGTTAATAATGGTAGTTGGACACCACTTCACGTAGCTTCCCAAAACGGTCACAAAAAAGTTGTCGAATACTTGATAACAGTCCGTGCCCGAGTCAATCACACTCTGATAGACGGTTCGACACCACTTCACATAGCTTCACTCCACGGGCACAAAGAAGTTGTCGTAGCATTGGCGGCAGCCGGGGCCGAAATCAATCGCACTGATAATTATGGTCGGACGGCACTTCACTTAGCTTATCGAAACCGCCACAAAAGTGTTGTCACATTCTTATCACACATCAGTGTCGATGTGAATCACACTGATGATGAAAACGGTGCGACACCACTTCATTCAGCTTGCGTTACCGGCGATCTAAATGTTGTTAAAGACTTAGCGAAATTCGCTGGAAAAGTCAACCATCATGCTAATGACGGTTTCACACCACTTCATGTAGCTTCTTTAAATGGACACGAACAAGTTGTCAAATTCTTGACGACAGTCGGCGCCCAAATCAATTGCGTTACGAAGGAAGGTTGGACACCACTTCATTTAGCTTGTCAAAACGGCCACGAAAAAGTTGTCGAATTCCTTACCACAGCGGGCGCCGAAGTCAACTGTGTTAGTAATAAAGATTGGACACCACTTCACGTGGCTTCCCAAAACGGTCACAAAAAAGTTGTTGAATACTTGACGACAGTCAGTGACGGAGTCAATCATACTCTGAAAGACGGTTTGACACCACTTCACATAGCTTCACTCCACGGACATGAAGAAGCTGTCGTAGCATTGGCGGCAGCCGGGGCCGAAATCAATCGCACTGACAATTATGGTCGGACGCCACTTCACTTAGCTTATCGAAACGGCCACAAAAGTATTGTCACATTCTTATCAAACAAAGGTGTCGATGTCAATCACACTGATGAAAACGGTGAGACACTACTTCATTCGGCTTGCGTCACCGGCGATCTAAACGTTGTTAAACAGTTAGCGAAATTCGATGGAAAAGTCAACAATCCTGCTAATGACGGTTTCACACCGCTTCACGTATCTTCTTTAAATGGACACGAAGAAGTTGTCAAATTCTTGAAGACAATCGGCGCCCAAATCAATTGCGTTACGAATGAAGGTTGGACACCACTTCATTTAGCTTGTCAAAACGGCCACGAAAAAGTTGCCGAATTCCTTGCCACAGAGGGCGCTGAAGTTAACTGCGTTAATAATGGTAGTTGGACACCACTTCACGTAGCTTCCCAAAACGGTCACAAAAAAGTTGTCGAATACTTGACGACAGTCGGCGCCGGAGTCAATCACGCTCTGATAGACGGTTCGACACCACTTCACATAGCTTCACTCCACGGGCATGAAGAAGTTGTCGTAACATTGGCGGCAGCCGGGGCCGAAATCAATCGCACTGATAATTATGGTCGGAAACCACTTTACTTAGCTTATCGAAACCGCCACAAAAGTGTTGTCACATTCTTATCACACATCAGTGTGGATGTCAATCACACCGATAAAAACGGTGCGACACCACTTCATTCAGCTTGCTCCATCGGTGTTCTAAATCTTGTTAAACACTTAGTGAAATTCGGTGCAAAAGTCAACCATTGTACTAATGGCGGTTACACACCACTTCACGTAGCTTCTTCAACTGGACACGAAGATGTTGTCAAATTCTTGATGACAATCGGCGCCCATATCAATTGCGTTACGAATAAAGGTTGGACACCACTTCATTTAGCTTGTCAAAACGGCCACGAAAAAGTTGTCGAATTCCTTGCCACAGAGGGCGCCGAAGTTAACTGCGTTACTAATGAAGGTTGGACACCACTTCACGTAGCTTCCGAAAACGGTCACAAAAAAGTTGTTGAATACTTGACGACAGTCAGTGTCGGAGTCAATCATGCTCTGAAAGACGGTTCGACACCACTTCACATAGCTTCACTCCACGGGCATGAAGAAGTTGTCGTAGCATTGGCGGCAGCCGGGGCCGAAATCAATCGCACTGATAATTATGGTCGGACGCCACTTTACTTAGCTTATCAAAACCGCCACAAAAGTGTTGTCACATTCTTATCACACATCAGTGTGGATGTCAATCACACCGATAAAAAAGGTGCGACACCACTTCATTCAGCTTGCGCTACCGGCAATCTAAATGTTGTTAAACACTTCGCGAAATTCGGTGGAAAAGTCAACCATCCTGCTAATGATGGTTTCACACCACTTCACGTAGCTTCTGCAAATGGACACGAAGAAATTGTCAAATTCTTGACGACAGTCGGCGCCCAAATCAATCGCGTTACTAATGAAGGTTGGACACCACTTCACGTAGCTTTCGAAAACGGTCACAAAAAAGTTGTTGAATACTTGACAACAGTCAGTGTCGGAGTCAATCATACTCTGAAAGACGGTTCGACGCCACTTCACTTAGCTTATAGAAACCGCCACAAAAGTCTTGTCACATTCTTATCTCACAGCAGTGTCAATATCAATCACACTGATGACAACGGTGGGACACCACTTCATTCGGCTTGCGTCACCGGCGATCTAAACATTGTTAAAGAGTTAACGGAATCCAATGGAAAAGTCAACCATCCTGCTAATGATGGTTACACACCACTTCACGTAGCTTCTTTAAATGGACACGAAGAAGTTGTCAAATTCTTGATGACAGTCGGCGCCCAAATCAATTGCCTTACGAATGAAGGTTGGACACCACTTCATTTAGCTTGTCAAAACGGCCACGAAAAAGTTGTCGAATTCCTTGCCAAAGCTGGCGCCGATGTTAATTGCGTTAATAATGATAGTTGGACACCAGTTCACGTAGCTTCCCAAAACGGTCACGAAAAAGTTGTCGAATACTTGGCGACAGTCGGTGCCGGAGTCAATGACACTCTGGTAGACGGTTCGACACCACTTCACATAGCTTCACTCCACGGGCATGAGGAAGTTGTCGTAGCATTGGCGGCAGCCGGGGCCGAAATTAATCGTACTGATAATTATAGTCGGACGGCACTTCACTTAGCTTATCGAAACAGCCACAAAAGTGTTGTCACATTCTTATCACACATCAGTGTTGATGTCAATCACACTGATAAAAACGGTGGGACACCACTTCATTCAGCTTGCGTCACCGGCGATCTAAATGTTGTTAAATACTTTGCGAAATTCACTGGGAAAGTCAACCATCGTGCCAATGACGGTTTCACACCACTTCACGTAGCTTCGTGTAATGGACACGAAGAAGTTGTCAAATTATTGACGACAGTCGGCGCCGAAATCAATTGCGTTACTAATGAAGGTTGGACACCACTTCATTTAGCTTGTCAAAGCGGCCACGAAAAAGTTGTAGAATATTTGGTGACATTCGGTGCGGAAGTCAATCGTGTTCAAAATAACGGTTTCACACCACTTCAAATAGCTTCGTCCCTACGCCACGAAAAAGTTGTCAAATATTTAAAGAGTATAAGTTCTCGAAAAATGTAGTGTAGTACGCAAGTTTCTTATTTTGTTAAATCATGTCGTTACCGTTATTCTTAGGTAATAGCAGTAATAGTGTAAGAAAAAAAAAGGCTCCTGAGGGGGAATCGAACACACCACCGCTTCCGCATTGCAGGTCCTAGGCCGTCTAATTTAGCCAGTCACCACTTAGACCACGCATGTCAATCCGAGAAAAATTCAACTGGGAAAACCCTTTTTTACATTACTTTATCACCTTTGCTTTGTCCTATAGCTACAAAAAAAGTCAAAATTTACTCGTGATATAATTCCTCAAAAGAAATTGCTGTAGTACATTAGAACACTCTCTTGCAAATATAACTGAGTTAAAAATTAAATTGTTAACCATTGACGATATCAAATATATAAGGCTTTCTGAAAAAATAAAAACAAAATTGTGTTTTCTCCATTATTAACGTAAATAAACAAAACCCGATGGATGGTACCGTCCAGTATTTTCCAATAATTGTGCGAACTGATTTTACTAAAACAGAGAACACCACGATGAAGAAAAAGTTTTATATTGTGGAACAAAACTGAAAAATAATCTTGCAGAATCGCTTTTCCACGGACATCTAAAATCGCCAATCTTAAAGAAAAGGCACAGTATATGTGCTAAATTATATGTTTAATCCTACTACTAAATATAACCCAAATGAAGCCGAATAAAAAGATAAAGGTAAGGCAAGAAAAAAAACATACCTCAGCAGGATTTATACTTTAGTTTTAGCTTTCTGTGCAACTTATATGGTGTAATAGAGAATCATTGACAACCCACTTCTAAATATCAAGACATCAAGAGTAATTAATAGCTCATGATTCGATAGAATGGTGTAATAAATATGGTTTCATTGGAAGAAACCCGCAGAGTGCCCAAAATGACACATTATTGTGACCTTAAGTTATTTTGCTGTTGACTTCCTGCGACATGTGAGTAAACACTATATTATTTTTACTTCCCAAGTATAAGCTAAGGATGATTATTCTCTATTACAAAATTTTATTATGGAAAAATTGTTTACCTTTACTTAAACAGTACATACATATCTTTATTTTAACTTAATACAGATTATCATAAAAAATAATATAAAATCTGTGAAAGAAAATTTTATCATTTTTCAAAAAAATAATGTGTGGTTTTACGATACATTTTCAGTGGCAGACTAACTACCTACCTAAAATAGGCCAAATCCTAGTAACTTGCCTTAGAAAACTATATTTGTTCAAAAAGTTCGAGACCTCCAGCCCACATCAACACAACTTCCAACGAAAATCATTGTCTGCGCTGGTTATCATGCTTCTGACTTCCTCGGACGTGTAAGTAAAATTCATAATTATTTTTAGTTAATAATAATAATAATAATATTTGTGTTATTATCTCATGTTTATAGTTTTTCAGTGGCAAATGGCAAATATTACCAAAATATGCCAAGCACTCAGCAGTTCTAGCAATGGAAGATGACGATCTCTAGGAAAACAACCTACGGATTATTTGTTAGACTTAATTCAGACTGTTCTGAACTTACTAAATTGTCAAGGTGTGTTTATGTATCACCTGATATTGATAATCTTAATTACGGTTAGAATGTAGAAAATTCTAGTTGTACAGTGTGTATTTTGTGTCGGATATTGTCAGCCTAATTGATTTTTCTATGTAAAGAATGAATTTGCCGATGAAACGACTGCCGCAGTCTGATCTTTTACTTTGTTTTGAGTCAGATATTGCTTAACTTCAAAATTTTGCCTAAAATTTTAATTACTATCTAGGTTTTGAAGTGGGCGCTCGGTGAATTCATTTTGGGAGTTGTATTGTTTTTGTAATTTTTCTTCTTATTGATAATTATATCTGATATATATTTCTGTTAATCCATACTTTTCAGTAGATTCAGCCAGTGGGAATTTTTAAATTTTCCCGTCTAATTAAGAAAATACCTTGTCGACTTTGGTATTTGTGGTGATAGAGATAGTGACATTTGTCCTTTTATGTTTATTTTCATAACTTTTTCATTCGCTGTAAGCAGTAATTGGAACAATTACTGTGCGAAAATAATTCATTAAAATTACTCATTACTCAGTAAAAGTAGTAATGCATTACAATTACAAATTACTTTTTTTAAACTCGCTTTAAATTTTGACTCCCTACTGGATTAATCTTCTCTTTGTGGGGACGAACCAGGTATAATAATCTCAACAGATCAGGTAAACGATTCGTAAAGTAACTGCTAAAGTAATTGAATTTCTCACAAAAAGTAATTCACTGCAATTGCTCATTACTTTCAAAGTAACTGAGTTACAGTACTAGATTAGGTGTAATTCAATTCCTTCCGACCACTGCAAATGTGTTACAAATAGATGTCAAGTTGTCATAAAAAAAAAACAGCAAATTGGTTAAAAAATATATTCAAATGAATAATTCGCGGAGCGGCCTGTGAGAATATGTATTTTGGGTTGCATAAACACGATAAATAGTGGATTCAAATTCAAAGAGTGTAGTTTTAGTCAAGTAGAAATGCAGTAATTTTGGTAAAAAATGTTACGAAATTATTGTAACGCTCCAATCTTAGCATTAAAAGTACATAATACATTTCCAGAATGTCTTAAAATGTATAGGATGGTCTAGTTTATAATAATAACAATAATAATAATATTATATTTTATCTTTTTTTCATCTTTATTCAAATAAGTGTCAATGAAAAGAATGTAACAAAATGGCAATCACATTAGTCGTTGAGATCTTTAAAACTGCAAAACAATAATTTTCTATGCAGGTACGAACTTTATCCCGGCGCCTCCACCTTTTTTCTTCAAAATTTTTATATTTATGCAGTATTAAGAAAAATATGTGTATAACATACAGGATTTCTATAAATGATTATAGGGTCGCAGTAGGTCATGCAAACGTCCTCCTCTTCGATTTGAAGCGTACTAAATGCCCACAACGTATTACAAAGACCAAACGCATCTGTATAATTGGTTGCCTAAATGCTTCATATTTAAAAAAAAATTAAACTAATTCATTACAATAAAAAGAAACAAATTTATTGCGGTTAAACATCACCGTAAATGTTGAAAATGTTCATTTTGTTCAAGGCCCATTGTTCAATTTCATGTTGCAACAGAAACTCCTGACTGCAGAGGAAATGTTGTCAAAGATGTTCGCGAATTCTGCTCAAGTCGTGTCAAATCATCAACAACTTCCTCAGATACTCAACGTTTTTCCCGAGATTTCTCTTTGTTGACACTGCCAGTTCGAATAAATCTGTTGATTACATCTTTAATGTGAGCCTTTAACGATGTTGGCAATATATTGAGCGTGTTGTAGGTAACACAAAGAAGGCCCATTTATTAAAAAGTCATGAGAAAAAAAATCTAAATGCTGATAGGAACTAAATTAAATTCTTTAAAACAGAAAATTTCCAAGGCTTAGACACCCTATTTCAGAGTTTTGCTGGATATTATTGGTTTCTAAATATACCCATATTTTTAAGAATTGTAAAAAGTAAACCATTTTATCGATGTTAATCTTATTTTCCCAGAATTTTGAGATTATCTTTATTATTAATCAAAGTGATGAAGTCATAGCATAATTTTATTAAGGTAAATTCACTTGAAACATATAGGAGAGTGCCGTAAGGTTTATATCTCGGAACCCGAGTCCACTCAACGGATTTTTGTAAAACCTTTAGGAATGTGTTTTTAACACTAACTACTAAAATGTTTACCCATTTATTTTTGCTGATCTCAATTTTTTTATTATTAAAATAAATAATAATTTTTTCGAAGTTTTCATTAATTTTCTATTAAAAACTCGAAATTTTTTGCTCTTAAAGTTAGATTTTTCATAGGATAACTAGTATAAACCTGTCCTTGGGGCCCCGGGTAAAAAGGTTTATTCAAAATACTCTTGATCCAGTTAATCTTGACATTGTTTGAAACATTGTTTATCATATAGAAGCGATTAATAAATTATTGCAACCTAATGATTAGTCGACCGATAATTCTTTCAAAATTTTTATGAGTTGAGTACTAAATCTAAAGTCGACATTTTACTGATACAATATAAATATACGTAACTTATATCATAAGTAGGAGTCAAGTTAATTTGCGATAGGATCTACATCTTCTAAGATAATTTCAAAAAATTCCAAGGTTTCTGGAAAAAAAACCCACTGAATCACTTCAAAACCTATTCAAGACATTACATATTATAGGTATATACAATATATTACTTAAGAGGATGATAAAATATGTGCAAAATATTTATTAATTTCGTCACTCATAAACTCATAAGCTGTATATGTTACTTTGGAACGCCGCTTCGACACCGTCCGCAATGATGACTCACCCATCAACGGCGTGCGTATTAGAAAGCTCGGGAACCCATAGGCGTCACATCGGGGGGGTATGGGTTTATTTCGTAACAATAATACAGAGGATATGATAGCTTCTAATAAGCAAAATAATGCGTCTTACAGTAAATCCACCTACAGCTGCTGTTAAATCTACAGAATTTGAAGATGACGAATTATCTGATAACGGTGATGACTGATGACTGGTAAAAGTAGAAAATGTTCATCAATCTATGTACGGTTACCCAGGAATGATCACGTACCTTTCACGTAATGACTACTAAGTCAACAACCAGGTTTACACGGTAACTAAACAACGTAAAGTGGTCGAAGCATTTGCGGTGGGAATTTCAAAAAAGGCTTCTAAGAATATTTTGAAAAATATATCAATTTGATTTATTTACCACTTGCTTGTGCCGTAAAATTAATATTTTCAACTTTAGAATTGTTTGGGATTTCATTCTAACATGTTTTAAAAAAGTTCATCACTGATATTTAGTCGTCCACTGAAAGAGCTTTTCTGGACCGCTTTTTAGGAGGTGATAATTGCAACTGATTTTCATCTGTCTTAAAAAACACAACAAGTGTGTATCAACAAGTATTAACAAAGTCTTGAAAATGACTGATTTATTGAAAATAAACAAAAAGTTGAAAGAAAAACACGAAAAAAAAGCGAAATAGACACAAAGAAAACACCGACGATGAAGTTGAAATGATGTCACACCAACCCACCACGTGTACGACAGCTAGTTTCAGTTTAAAATTTAAGCTGCGTAAATCCGACCGAGTGCAGGTTCTCGGCAAGCATCCCTTGACCAATAGTATTGCGGTTCTGAAAAATCACGTGAAGATCACGCACTTTTACAACTTCAGAGCTTGGAGGATAGGCGTGTGGCGAAATTTCTAATCAGTCAGCAAGGAAAAATTGGCTTATAGTCTTACTCGCGGAATCTAATAATAACATATAACCGATAAACCATAAACCATAAACCATACATCAATTTGAGATGGTAATCATAGTTGGATTAACTAAATCGTTCAATAATTTCATCATCAAAAACAACATTTTGACCAAAAGACATTAAGTAATACTCGTAATAGGTAGCAACTTCTGGAAAAAAACTCTGGGATTGTTTGCCAAACTTCTTCGTAGAGAAAACGCATTTCTTGAAATTGTAAATATTATTGTTATATGTATAATCATTGAATTCTTTTGAGAAAACGTTCCAACATGTCGAAATGCTACCTGAACTAAGGCTAGATAAATGAGCACAGCAATTTTCGAAGTACGATAACTTTAATCAGAGTTTGAAAGTAAAAAATTCTCGTCTTTACAGTTGTGTATTTTACGATTGTATTTGCAATACGGTAATTTTTTTTTAAAGAAACACAAAATTAATAGATATATCAATTCGTAAGTAAATACTTCACAATCGCAGTAAACAAAATAGCCATATATGTTTCACCATTGTGATAAGATTGATAAAAAGCAAAGCGTTATACGACATAGCATATTCAAAAGTCAGTGCTGCTTACCTGTAGGTGTACAAATGGATGTTCTCACCTTACTCTAGGTTACCGTAAAAGTTCAATAGTTTTGTAAACAGGTGGTCTTCGGTGAGAACAACTTTAGAAATGGAGCAAACTGAGGTGAGTGTTTCTCCACTATCTCTATATACTTATTTATATACGTAACCCCAAACACTTGATGATTAAATTGCTAATTAAGAAGCTTTTCTTTTTCCATGTAAACATTTACATTTTCGCTAACGGCCAATTGAGTGTTGAAGTTAACCAGAATACTACTCACATATACAAAAGAGGCCTTTAGAAATTCCATCTAAATCGCACTTTCGTTAATCTCGTTTATTAGAGACAGAAAAAAGTCAAATACTCTTTAAACAACTTTAATAAAAAAAATTATTTTCAGCTACACCTACAGATTGTTCTCTATGTATTCTTATGCCCTGACGTATAATTGCGTCACAGCTTCTGTTTCCTCAAACTCGGCCTTTGTTTTTTGATTTAGTGAGTGAAGATTCCCGTGAAGATAAAATGAAAATATTTCGAGAAGTCGTTTCCTCTTTCCACATTTGAAAATAAATCCAACGAGGCTCTTAAAAAACTGTGGGGTGCTCAGTGGCGGCTGGTGGGTCAAAATTTCGGGTCGGCCAAATATTTTGAGTCTACACCTTGGTGTTATATATTTTCGTAATGAATGGCCGCTACTCGTTAACCACTGACATTTTACGTGCCAGGATGTACAAAACATCTCAAATGTTTCGACCTGTTAAAATAATTTTTTTATAGGAAATTGACAATGTCAGTTTGATTCCAAATACTATTAATCCTTAATTCTACTTGTTCTGCTTTATCATTAATGGAGAACCACCGAAAACATTATTTTTACTGAGTTCCGCGTCGACCGGCGGCTATACGGCTTGCCGACCCCGGACATCCACAATTAAATAATAATAATTAAATAATGACATGCAGTTAAAAAATATAAAAAAAGTAATAATAAAAGTACCAACTGTTACCTATCTTCATTTACATTTATTTTTTTTTTTTAATGTATATGACAAATTGTCAAATAAATTAATTGAATAATTGAAAAATTAAAATGATTTAAAACTTTAAATTCCTTTGTGAAATATCTGAAAACGCTTAGATGCTAAAAATATAGAAAAAGCGCATTTATGTTGTAGCTAAGTTATGTACGAAAAATAAAATTTTAGATAATTTAATGTAATTTTTTTCGTTTATTATTCATACACAGGAAAATGTATTAAATCGACAATTATTATTAAAAAAAAATAGTATGCACTGAAGAACATCGAAGCCTTTATTGTTTTGTAGTTTTGTTAGCTATCTTAAATATCAAGCGTTTTAAAAACTAAATTCGCGTTGCTGGGTACGGCGAAGGAGGATTTCGCCGGACCTGGCGCAACATACGTTCCGCCAGGTCTTTGTCTACTACAGTGTAGTAGACAAAGAGAACGATGAAACCGTAAGCTGCTACGAAGTCGAAACATCGAGCATTATGCATTCCTGGGTACGGCGTGCCGAAATCTCGCCGGCAAAGCGTCTTTATCAGCATTTAAAATGAGCAACAAATGCTTTGTTTTGTACCTACAATATAATAAAATATATTTTTAATATATATGATCTATCCTAACGTACATTCAAACTTCATTTCTTTTTTTATTTTCTAATTTCAACGTTTACTAAGTATTTTAAACTGACTGGTACGGCGTGGCCGACCCTGCCGCCCCTGACCAGCCGCCCCTGGGGGTGCTGTTGGAAATGTAAAAAACATGATTGACTTTCAAGAATTAAATAAAGTAAATAAAGCAAGAAAAAAAATACCTACCTACAGTCAGACCTATTGATAAAACAAATATCGAAAAGATAGTTGATCAACTGTTATGGTTAACGGACAAGTGTCCACTGTTATTATTACGTGAACATGAAAACGTCGAAAAAGTAATCCAGCTTTGTCCCGATGAAAAGCTCATCTTGATTGGAGAAGGCAAGAATGTGAAGTAGATGACAAAGTATTCCGTGTTCCAAAATCTGTCAAATTTCACTTCACATAGCTGGCCAAAATGGCCACGAGAAAGTTGTCGAATGCTTGGTAACATTCGGCACCGAAATCAATTGTATTACGTTGAACGGGTGATTCAAATGGACATGTCAAGATCGCCAACTTAACATCTTTCAGTTCTTTAGGCATGTGAGGATGACTCATGGTCTTGTCAATAACAACACCATTCACAAGAACAGTATCTTCCAGTCTTCCCTCAACTTTTCCTTCCACTTTAATAAGCTCAAAATTCGCAGCCTTGTGCGCCAAATCCGGCCATCTGCCTATGACACTTGTTGATAATTTTCGAACCCAGCGTTGTCTTTGCCACTTTAATCAAAGGCTCAGTATTTTCAGCAGACACCGAGAAGAGTTCAGCTATTTTGTCTAAGTGTTTAACAGCGGTTTAACAAGCCAATTGAACCAAGAAATTTGCGTCCATCTTTGGTTCATTTCCTCCATTGCTGAAGTCCGACCTCTAGTCTCGATAGGCATAAATCTTCAGAATTGTTGTCCAAACTGCCCGGAAATCGTCGTAAAACCGGTTATTTTATTATCTCACTTCCGACACCAGTGTTAATAACGTTGAACGGGTGATTAAAACTGCGTCAACAATTTATTTCTAACTAAGTCGAATTTACACGACTAACTATTATTACAGCGATTATAAAATAATTCCGGCGCAACTTCTCTTGACTCAACTGGCTGAATAGTAATCGTTCTCGAAGAGTCCGCATTATTAAAGCCCTTGCGCATCATTCGATGCCCTTACATCATCAATTGCGACGAAATTCCGATGTGACGGGCGGACGGACCGAAATCTCGCCGATAACGTGTGGTGACGGCGTACCTGGGTGCCAAACCTTGGACCGACCAGTGTGGCTTATTTAAGAAACACGTCTGGCCGACCTAAGCTTATGTGGCGACCTTCACGCCGCCGGGAGTGGCGCCTTCGGTCAGGAACGGCGATCGCTCAGGCGCCAGCTCCCTCTCCGAGGGAGAAAGCGCCGGGGTTGCTCTCAAACCGGAGACACGGATCTCAGGTGGTGAGCGCCCTCGAAAATGAGAGAATAAAATAAAACGGCAAAGAATATTTTAAATAATAATCCGGTTTATTCCCTGCCACCAGCTACACGGCTAAAATAATAAAACTTACGGCTAATCTTAAATAAAATAAATACAAAACGGTTTTCCAAAGAAAAAGAATAAAACGTCCGGCACGGTCGTTCCTCCTGGGCGGCGACTTCCTTCAGGACGGGTTCCTCCTGGACTTGGGGGCGGCGACTTTGAAGCCTGGACATCGTACGAGGACGGTACGGCGACCCGGGAGGGGAGCGCGGTGACGGTACACAACGCGTGCACGACGGTTCCGACTTATGACGGCGACGACATAAAAAACCGGTGACGGTGGTAGGCGATTCAAAAACCGGTGCTTAAACGGCCAGACGACCCAAAAAGTTACTTATGGTGGTCGGAGGGTCAGACTGCACTTCAAAATCACTTTTACTTTAAAGCAGCCACAGCACTTCTTCACCCTTTGAGGCTTCTTTAGCCGCGGCGGCGCAGCGATCGCGGATTTAACCCCGGCTCTCGCGGTAGGCGTCACGGTTTCCGGCCCGCGTAAATTCGCTTCGTTACACAATCCTCAAAATCATCTTCGCCAACTGCGTTGCTAGCAACAGTTGCTGCCTCTTCGATTTCGGAGATTCAATAACATGTTGTTCCCTCATGTTCATATTTCCAGTTGCCATACAATCAACGATTTAGGTGTCATACTTGACAAAGAGCTATCTTTTTCGGAGCATACCGTTCACATTGTAAAAAAAGCCAATGTCAGAAGTTATCTGTTGCAAAAGACGTTTACCAATCCGGACGAAGTTCTGTTAAAAACACTTTTTGTATCGTACATTCGTCCTATCGTAGAATACGCGAGTGTAATCTGGTCTCCTGCCCTAGTAAAAGATAAGCAATTAATTGAGAAAGTCCAGCGTCGTTTCTCTAAATTTGGCCAATCTCTCAAAAATAAATCTTATGAAGATAGACTTTCGACACTGAAACTCCCTACCCTCGAAAAACGGCGTCTCTTCAATGATTTGGTTTGTACTTATAACATCCTCTCCAATAAATTTAGTTTTAGCCTTGCCGACATCTTTGTTCTGTCGGATATTTCCCGCCTCCGGGGACACTCGTTGAAATTATACCATGAAAATTACAAAACTAAATGGCGTCAAAATTTTCTGACCAACCGAGTCTTCCAGATCTGGAACGGCTTAGCCGTAGAAATCGTCGAAGCAACTACAACTGCTTCCTTTAAAAACAAACTGGGTATATATTTGTACCAGTCATCTTAACACCCATCTGACACCGGAACTCTTCCTATGTGGGAAGCAGTAATAAATTGTAGTTACTGGAAAATTGTTTTCGGCGAATGGGCATAATAGGCTCTGCCTCTGCCCAACGTTTTCAATAATAATAATAACAATAATAATAATAATCAATACCTAAAGCCGCATCTCCAGTGGCCACTTGCTTCGCCTTCACCTCTCCCAACACATGAATAGCCGACATTCCGCTATTCTCGGCGAGAGCCAGCGGAATGCTCTCCAAAGCCTCAACGAACCCTCTGAACGCAGACTGTTCCAATGAAGCCAACTGATCGGCTTGCGCCGCCACCGCCAAACTGCAGGCGATCTCGGCGGCGACGCCACCGTACACACAGAGCGTCGTGGCGACTGCGTTTAGTCTCGGCGACCAGCATCTGATTGCCGCCACGCACCAGGATGGTGACGGCGCCAGAGTTTGAACAATCCTCGATTACCATCATGCGATCCTTGGTGGTACCGAAGGACAGTTCGCTGACTAAACCAGCGCTGCTTAGTTTATCTGGGCTTAGTTCTTCGAAACGGGGGACGATTTGGGTTTTAGCAGTTGAAATGGACATGTCAAGATCGCCAACTTAACATCTTTCAGTTCTTTAGGCAGCTGAGGATGAGTCATGGTCTTGTCAATAACAACACCATTCACAACAACAGTAACTTCCAGTGTTCCCCCAACTTTTCCTTCCACTTTAATAAGCTCAAAATTCACATTCTTCTGCGCCAAATCCGCGACAGCCAGAATCGCCTTCACGGTAATTTCGGCCATCTGCCTATGACACTTGTTGATAATTTTCGAACCCAGCGTTGTATTTGCACCTTAATCAAAGGCTCAGTATTTTCAGGAGACACCGAAAGGAGTTCAGCTATTTTGTCTAAGTGTTTAACAGCGGTTTGACAAGCTATTTCTTTATTTCTTGAGTCCATCTTTTGGTTCATTTCCTCCATTGCTGAAGTCCGAGCTCTAGTCTCGATAGGCATAAATCTTTAAAATTGTTGTCCAAACTACCCGGAAATCGTCGTAAAGTCGGTTATTAATTTCACATTTCACGTCCGACACCAGTGTTGCCTACGTTGAACGGGTGATTAAAATTAGCTCAACAATTTATTTCTTACTAACTCAGATTTAGACCACTAACTATTACAGTGATTATAAAATAACTTCTCTCGACTCAACTGGCTGACGGACGGTCCGGAATTTTGCCGATAACGTGTGGTCACGGCGTACCTGGGTGCCAAACCTTGGACCGACTAGTGTGGCTTATTTAAGAAACACGTCTGGCCGACCTAAGCTTATGTGGCGACCTTCACGCCGCCAGGGGTGGCGCCTTCAGTCACGAACGACGATCGCTCGGGCGCCAGCTCCCTCTCCGGGGGAGGGAGCGCCGGTGCTGCTCTCAAGCCGGATCTCAGGTGGTGAGCGCCCGCGAAAATGAGAGAGTAAAATAAAACCACAAGCAATATTTTAAATAATAATCCGGTTTATTCCCTGCCACCAGCTACACGGCTAAAATAATAAAACTTACGGCTAATCTTAAATAAAATAAATACAAAACGGTTTCACAAAAGAAAAAGAATAAAACGTCCGGCGCGGCCGTTCCTCCCGGGCGGCGACTTCCTTCAGGACGGGTTCCTCCTGCACTTGGGGGCGGCGACCTTAAAGCCTGGACATCGCGCGAGGACGGTACGGCGACCCGGAAGGGAAGCGCGGTGGCGGTACACGACGCGTGCACGACGGCTCCGACTTGTGACGACGACGACATAAAAAACCGGTGACGGTGGTACGGTTTTTCCCTCGGGGGCGGAGATTCAAAAACTGGTGCTTAAACAGGCAGACGACCCAAAAAGTTACTTACGATGGTCGGAGGGTCAACTGCACTTCAAAATTACTTTTACTTTAAAAACAGCCACAGCACTTTTTTACCCTTTGAGGCTTTTTAGCCGCGGCGGCGCAGCGATCGCGGATTTACCCCCGACTCTCGCGGTAGACGTCACGGTTTCCGGCCCGCGTAAATTTGCTTCGTTACACAATCCTCAAAATCATCTTCGCCAACTGCGTCGCCAGCAATAGTTGCTGCCTCTTCGACTTCAGAGATTCAATAACATGTTGTTCCCTCATGTTCATATTTCCAGTTGCCATACAATCAATACCTAAAGCCGCATCTCCAGTGGCCACTTGCTTCGCCTTCACATCTGCCAATACATGAGTAGCCGACATCCGCTATTCTCGGCGAGCGGAATGCTCTCCAAAGCCTCAACGAACCCTCTGAACGCAGACTGTTCCAATGAAGCCAACTGATCGGCTTGCGCCACCACCGCCAAACTGCAAGCGATTTCGGGGGCGACGCCACCGTACGCAACTCTAGTTTCCTGAACCAAGCTTCTGACCACACACAGAGTTTATCTGGGCTTAGTTCTTCGAAACGGGGGACGATTTGGGTTTTGGCGGTTCAAATGGACATGTCAAGATCGCGAACATAACATCTTTCAGTTCTTTAGGCATCTGAGGATGAGTCATGGTCTTGCCAGTAACAACACCATCCACAAGAACAGTCACTTCCAGTCTTCCCCCAACTTTTCCTTCCACTTTAATAAGCTCAAAATTCACATCCTTGTGCGCCAAATCCGTGACCGCCAGAATCGCGTTCGCGGTCATTGCGGCCATCTGCCTATGACACTTGTTGATAATTTTCGAACCCAGCGTTGTCTTTACCACTTTAATCAAAGGCTCAGTATTTTCATCAGACACCGAGAAGAGTTTAGCTATTTTGTCTAAGTGTTTAATAGCGGTTTGACAAGCCATTTCTTTATTTCTTCAGTCCATCTTTTGGTTCATTTCCCCAACGAGGATTGCTAGTTGGGTTTTTAAATCCCGGTTCTTTCTCTCAACCATATTCGCAGCTCAGTGATATACGGGAGTCAGACTTTGTGCGATGTTAAAACAAAGTCATATTCTGCCACTGGGTACCATTAACAGAAATGATTTTCCGCGGAAGCTCATAGCGTAAGCACACTTCATTCCCTAAAGTCCAGGCGCATGCTTCCGAAGTGGCGTGTTGTAGTGGAAATAATTCAACCCTTCTGGACGCGCAGTCTTCCAGGATGAGTATCCATTTCTCTTCCTGTGGGCCACGGGGAAGGGGTCTAGATAAATCCGTGGAAAACGTTATTGCAGTATCGGAGTTTAAAGTAAAGCAGCGGGTCGTTAGTTACTGGCTTTATAGCGTTGACGAGCAACAGTGTTGGATGTACTCCCGAATATCTCGTTTTAATCCGGGTCAATAAAATTTCCGGGAAACCTTATGATGGGTGTGGTCTAGCCCATAATGACCTGCTGTTGGTGAAATGTGATATTCTTGCAAAATTTTCTTGCGCTCATTAGCGGGTACTACTTCTGGGGTCCCGTGTTCGTAGGCATCAATAATTTTCTTTACCTCCGGGTCTTCGAATTGTTTTTGTCGGAGAATTTCGGGTTTTTCTCGCGGCACTTCTATCGAAACCAGTCCGACGTGGTACTCTTCGGTCGACTAAACTCCTGGTAGCCGTGACAGGGTGTCGGCGACTACGTTGGCTTTCCCTAGTGAGTATTCGATCGTTAAGTTGTACGGCTGGAGTTGGAGGGACCATCGAGTCAGTCGTGCACTCGGAGACTTTAGGCTCATTAGCCAACGCAACGGCTGATGATCAGTAACAACTATGGGGGGGCATTTTTTCCAGGTATCCGCGAAAGTTATTTACTACCCAGACAAGGACCACGGCTTCTCTTTCAGGGGGCGTGAGGAGGCGACTTGCGTATTCTACAGGCTGCTCATTTATTCCCTCTCCCCTGTGTAGCACTCGGAGGGTGAAGCCCGGCGCCGTTGTGAACGCTTTCTTCAGGCCCTCGAAGGCGAGAGTACTGTGGCGGCACAATAGTAAGTAGTAATAAGCGAAGAAAGATAAGCGGCCTGGTGGTTTAGTGGTTAGGATACTTGCCCGGCAAGCGGGGGGCGTGGGCATCGATTCCCACCGAGGCAGCAACATTTTTCTTCGCTTACCTACATATCCATCGGGCTAGCGACTTCCTGAGGGCGGTTCTCTATGAACTATGAACTATGAATGCGGTTCTCCTTCAAAATGTTGGCGTTAGGTGGGGTTGTTTTTAACTAGTGGAAAGCGAGCTCGATAGGACCTGGTGTTTCCTCCTTCGAGATAAGCCCGTAACACTCGTGGCGATTTCCTGCATAATGTCACCTTTGGCTCCCATAGTTGATGACCATTCTTGATTTCTGTAGGAAATCGGCCCCAAGAAGGGTTTTCGAATTCACGTCTTCTGGGATAACAATAAACTGAGTCGTTTTCGTGCGTCCTGAAAGTGTGATCGGCAACATACAGACTGATTGTGCTGATTGTGGCCCTTTTTCTTAAGAAGACCGTACAATTGTTGTTCGAATTTGCGGGCATCCAGAAAACAGAACTGGACGTTGAGAGTTGAGACCAAGTAATAATATGCATTAATCACATTAATTTAATTGATTTGATTATTATTATTATTATGATTATTGTCAAACTTCTATCATCTCTTTCAACATTTCCAGTTTTAACATTAGGAAATTTTGTTTACTACATCATGAAACGGCACAAACTATTATCCTGGAAATGTCACCCTTATCTCAGATGATCAATATTTTTTCTTCTACTGATATTGACATCTTTTACACCAACATACGTCAGTTTAGAGGAATATTAAAATATATATGATCATTAAAGAGAGTCATTGTTATACTAGAAAATCTATCTCCGACAATACGGACAAGTAATAACTTGTAGTTACTTGATTGTGATAGATACTCCTAATATTAACAACTGGACGTAAAATCTGTTGGCCAATTTCCACTAATAATAATAATAATCATAATAATAATAATCGCCTCACCACATCAGACAGTCACGAACCACTACTTCACACAGCTTCGCAAAACGGCCATGAACGGTCGAATATTTAAAGCGGCATCACTCGGGTTGCTTTGGCACAATTTTCTTTCCAAATTTATTCTAGCTTATAAACGAGGAAAATCGACTTAGGGTGATAGTTTTTTTTCTTAAGAATCCTGCATACTAGACATATTTTGTCCCTCTTGTAATCGAAATTTTTAGTGCAGGTCTTAAACACGAAAAAACCAATCAGTTTTAATTATTAACCCACACATCTCAAATACCGAGGGTGCACTTTAGTCCAAGTTAGTCAGAGTCCGTGAGAAGCGGTGGACGTGAAGACCCAGCTGTGTTGTGATGGTTTGACAGGGCCGGACTCGGGTTGAGTGATATGAGGGCGTATTCAGGTAGGGCGCCTTTGGCCATTGACACAGCAGGCTGGCGAAACCCGTGAAGGAGGTTGTGGTCGCGGTGGTAGCAACCGAATGCCACAGAGAATACGTTTACTGGTTAGGTTGGGAGATTAACCCGGTTTCTGGAGGGAACATAGTGACGTATAGACATGGAGGTGTCCTCTCCACTTTGGCCGTGACAGTGCTCCTTCTGAGGGGGCTGTGGGCGGGCAGTACATCCCAAACTGTACGGCTAGGGCGATTTCAGATAACTCGACATCACCAGGAGATCGAGCGCCGAAGACAACGCCGTGAGTTGGAACCGCTGATCAACAAGGAGTCGACTAGGGGGTGGAGAGCCCCCGGTGAGTGACCCCATTCTTAATCATTAGCGACAGATAAGTCAGGTGTGTCTGTTTTCATATTCATGGTTGGGGCCGAACAAATTCAGAAACCAACATTCGACAACAATGGTAAAATCTTCAAAATGAAGCATTCTCTGTGTTTATTGTGCTGTTGACTTCGTACAACATGTAAGTGGAAACTATTTAACGTCTTCTTTCTGCCTGCATTCTTTAAATAATAATGAATCTATTTGTGTTATTACAGAATACATTATATACTCATACTTCATCAGCGGCGGACTAAAGTTCCAGAAAAAAACCAAATCCGAGCAACTAAGGATTTGTTTCAAAGCTTTCGAGTACATCTAGATAGCAATATTACAATCTCCAGAGTGAAGCATTATTGTCTATGCTAGTTTACCACGCTCTTGGCTTACTGCGAGGCGTAAGTATTAATCTATAATTTTTTTTTTTTTCATTTTTTTGAACTCACGTTTTTTAATAATAAACAGTGCGTCAAAAGTTAGGGATATCGTAATTAATTTAATTTAAGTCTTTCATCAATGTTCTTAACTTTTGATCCGCAGTTTAATAGAAATAAATATAATTGTGGTAATTATACTATGTTTACACTTTTTTTAACAGCCTTTAAGTACCAGAAAATAAGGCCAAGTACCCCTCAGTCCTAACAATTGATGGACGGACCATCCTTTAGATATCGATGATCTGTTTCAAGGCGTTTAGAAGAAATTCAGTCCTTCGGAAAATCGTCCTGCCTGTCCTGAAGTTATTCGCCAAACTTATTCGTCAAAAGAATACGTTTCTTAGATTAGGTACTTGTAATTACTTGGTATATTATCACCACGTATAAAGTCGATAAACTGGATTTATGGATATCTAATTTTGTTAAAATATGCTTATGTACGTACAAAAAAAAGGATACCTTACTGGCCTCTTTTTACTACGCCAGGGTACTGGCTACTTTCATATTTTTTTGACGTTTCCCATGGCCTCTAGAGCCTGTCTGTCTATTTATCTACTTGCCATCTGCCGTTTGTCGTCTGTGTTAAGTTTTGTTAGACAGATAATCTACGAATTTATATAATCAATTGTTGTTAAATTTAATATATATGTTAGGAATATCAAGTAGATGGTAAAACCTTAGATCATATAATAAATAGATACCAATACTCAAACTGAAAGCTGTGACTAGACATGAAGCTATCTGTTGTCGTTTTCTACGTCAAGAGGAGTAGTATAATGCTATCCTTCTGTGATCACCACATCTTCATCTTTGTTATATGCATTTCATCTGTATATGTCTATTTCACTTCCATCCTTGTACCGCACCAGCGCAACAAATTGCTTTTGACAGATGTTTCTTCTAACCTCTCTTTCGAGTTGTTGTACAAAAAACAATTTTAGAATTTAGAACAAAGATCCTATTTTAAGTGATGTAATCATAAATGATCACAATTGCTGCCCAATAATTTACTATTCCTTTCATTATCTACTGTGAATTATTTATAAAATCAAGCTGTCAACATCTTTCGTATGAAGTTAGTTCAGACATACTTCCTAAAATTTAGGCGCGCAAAATTCAAATAGTGATCAGGCAAGGATAGCTTCATTGTAATCCCTCCATGCACGAGAGAGATGTGTGACAGGAGGATGTCGTCACAGGCTCTGCTAGGGAAAGAACACAGCATGGTGGTATCTATCTTAATATATATAAATCTCGTGTCACAATGTTTGTCCTCAATGGACTCCTAAACCACTTAACCGATTATAATAAAACTCGCACACCATGTGCAGTTCGATCCAACTTGAGAGATAGGATAGTTTAAATCTCAAATTATAGTCGCAATTTTAATTTATTGCTAATTATTTGTCTGTTATTATTTGACAGTCACAATTATCTGTTAACTCCAAATGATTCTAACAGATGTCGATACCTTTCGACTGGGTTGAGTAAGTAATCAATAGATGGCGCTGCTATGGTAAATCTACTAAAGTCACTAGATAGATAAAGTACCGCAATTGGGCGCCATATTGTGTCCGCGCCAAATTCAAAATAAATAAATAAAAATTAACGGACTCGATACTTGCGTACAAAGCGTAAATGTAGATTTTTTTCAAATAAACATTTATTTATGTTTAAGCGTTATTTGTTCAATGCACTTAAATGCCATTGATAAACATAAGGGGTGAGTAAAAAATATAGATGAGAAACCTTGCAATATCAGTTTATTAACAAAATTTCGGCCGCAATAGTTTCCTTCCATCTGCTCGCTTTGCTTCAAATTGTTGTAACTAAAAGTAAATAGCATTTAACATTGTGCAATTACATATTCAAGCTTTAAACAAATTACTTCGCAAACTCTGGAGTTGTCTTTCAAATCGTCCCGGCCTATTAAATTCTCCCACATCTCTCTTCTAGTCTAGCCCTATTACTAACACCTGCAACAATTTAAATTAGTTGAGAAAACTCAATTGAAAACTCAGTTGTAACCACGGCCAACTGTATTAATATATATATATGTATTAATACAGTTGGCCGTGGTTGTAACCTACCTGTTGGAAGACGAAACAATCGGCTTTTATTTCCACACAAAGGAACACAACAACTTGGCATTTTAAAATAAAAGTCATAAAACACAACAAAAAAACACAAACAACTTTACAAAAAACACAAACAACTTTGCAAAAAACACAAACGGCGTTTGACAATTAACATTGACGTTTGTCGGTCGCCATATTGTGTCCGAAATACACGTTCTCTCTCTAACACATTGAAACATTCAATTGCGGTACTTTGGTTATCTAGGGACTTTAAAATCTACGAACGTGTCATATAAGCTACATTTTAAATTTACATTTTTTTTAAACCGAGCACATGTTTGAACTGTAAAATCTTATTGAACAAATTAACAACATTGTGGGTCATGTGGGACGTGCATTTTATTTCTTTGATTTAGACCATTATTTGCACAACGCAACAGGATTGATCACATTTCTGGCAGACATATTTTTGTCGCATTTTTTTTAACGACGCCATTTTGAACCTCCAGATTGCCTATGTTTCTTGTGTTTGTTTGGGTGAATGTAAAACGATGGCCCACAATGCGGCTGAATAAGAGGTCTATTTTGTAACTCTTAACGATCTCGCTAGACCATCGTTAACTTACGATAATCGTTCCCATAACGATTTTGGGACTGATAGCGATTTTGTAACATCTATCGTCTCGTTACATAGCGATCGTATCGTTAGAATGTCATCGTTCCGGAACGATAGGTTTCAGCTCACCGTTACAAGTGTCAGAATACGTTAGAAAAGTATTTATACAATGAAGAGGAACGTTTTGGTGCAAATATGGGTAGAGAAGGTAAATGTAAGTAATTAATGTATGTTTGGATTAGGTTGATAACTTATTATAGGTATATTTTTTTTACTGCAGAGACAGAATGAGAAATTTGTCTCGGGTCTTAAGAGATGTAAACGACCCCTTGATCGTTCGAGAAGAAACCTTTAGGAAGACCTACCAACTATAATGGGAAGCGGCGAGAGATACATTTCCAGAAATACTGCCGCAGAGTTCTGTATTATTCACCAGAAGTTGCAGGAAAAATTACATACTCATGTGCTGTTTCACACAATCTTACGCATAAGAAATATCGAAAATGACGAGATCAACATTGTCTATGACAAGGAGAACGATAATAATGAAGAACTTGAATATGAAGAACACAATTTACTACATGAATGGCATATCACAAGAAATAATTTAATAATACAGCATTTTCAATAATGTATTTATTATTTTTTTTACAACATAATGAAATTATTAAACAGTTCCTCTTTCACATAGTCTTAAATTTCTGGCCTTCTTTCAAACATTGAATTTCCAATCTACAAATCTCTGGAACACACAGTGACGTTTACTTACCAGGCAGTACATTGTAATTAGAGTGCCCTATGTTATATTCTTGGTGTACTAAAAAACACAGAGGTTATGGTTTATTGTGTAACAGTATTTATAAAGATTAAACATCTCAGTTCTCATAATTGATTGGTCATGACTAAACAAGATGTTCACTTTGTCATAACCAAAGTGTTGATGTAAGCAGAATAATTGCTAATAGTTGTACGATAAATTATAGTAAAGTACACATTTTTAAAAAGAGTGTTCGGGAGATTCATTAATTACACATACCTCTCTGAACTGCTGAAAACTTTTTTGTGGTCCTCCCACAGAATTTAGTTTTGCTATCAACCCTTCCCAAATCTTTTCTAAAAGATCTGGCTTGTCCGCTACGAACTTTTGGGCCCTAAAATCTACATTACCTTCTAACTCCTCCACATACAACTCATGTTACTCTTGGGTAATACGCTGGGTCCTTTTACGTTTTTCCATTGCTCCCGTGAACGTATTGTAAACTGAATTTCGTGTTAGTGTGATTATTTTGATGTTTTTCTTTTATAATTATTGTTTACTTACATGTTATAAGTTCACAAATTTGTCCAAACTTCAATCAGTAGCAAAACAAATGTCACATGTCACAACAGAGAACAACGTAATCTAGAGGCTACACAAATTTAAATACTACCGATTCTAAAAACATTAGATTCATCGTTCCGCTAACGATTTCAAAGCTTTACGATTACGATAGTGTTTATAAAATTGGAAATTTGTACAATCTCGCTAACCTGATTTTACGATTGCTTCTAACGATTATCGTTTGGGAACGAGATCGTTCCGGAGCGATAAATTACAAAATAGACCCTATTTTGTAATTTATCGCTCCGGAACGATCTCGTTCCCAAACGATAATCGTTAGGAGCAATCGTAAAATCAGTTTAGCGAGATTGTACAAATTTCCAATTTTATAAACACTATCGTAATCGTAAAGCTTTGAAATCGTTAGCGGAACGATGAATCTAATGTTTTTAAAATGGGTAGTATTTAAATTTGTGTAGCGTCTAGATTACGTTGTTCTCTGTTGTGACATGTGACATTTGTTTTGCTACTGATTGAAGTTTGGACAAATTTGTGAACTTATAACATGTAAGTAAACAATAATTATAAAAGAAAAACATCAAAATAATCACACTAACACGAAATTCAGTTTACAATACGTTCATGGCAGCAATGGAAAAACGTAAAAGGGCCCAGCGTATTACCCAACAGCAACATGAGTTGTATGTGGAGGAGTTAGAAGGTAATGTAGATTTTAGGGCCCAAAAGTTCGTAGCGGACAAGCCAGATCTTTTAGAAAAGATATGGGAAGGGTTGGTAGCAAAACTAAATTCTGTGGGAGGACCACAAAAAAGTGTTCAGCAGTTCAGAGAGGTATGTGTAATTAATTAATCGCCCGAACACTCTTTTTAAAAATGTGTACTTCACTATAATTTATCGTACAACTATTAGCAATTATTCTGCTTACATCAACACTTTGTTTAAGACAAAGTGAACATCTTGTTTAGTCATGACCAATCAATTATGAGAACTGAGATGTTTAATCTTTATAAATACTGTTACACAATAAACCATAACCTCTGTGTTTTTTAGTACACCAAGAATATAACATAGGGCACTCTAATTACAATGTACTGCCTGGTAAGTAAACGTCACTGTGTGTTCCCGAGATTTGTAGATTGGAAATTCAATGTTTGAAAGAAGGCCAGAAATTTAAGACTATATGAAAGAGGAACTGTTTAATAATTTCATTATGTTGTAAAAAAAATAATAAATACATTAGTGAAAATGCTGTATTATTAAATTATTTCTTGTGATATGCCATTCATGTAGTAAATTGTGTTCTTCATATTCAAGTTCTTCATTATTATCGTTCTCCTTGTCATAGACAATATTGATCTCGTCATTTTCGATATTTCTTATGCGTAAGATGTTGTGTGAAATAGCACATGAGTATATAATTTTTCCTGCAACTTCTGGTGAATAATACAGAACTCTGCGGCAGTATTTCTGGAAATGTATCTCTCGCCGCTTCCCATTACAGTTGGTAGGTCTTCCTAAAGGTTTCTTCTCGAACGATCAAGGGGTCGTTTACATCTCTTAAGACCCGAGACAAATTTCTCATTCTGTCTCTGCAGTAAAAAAAATATATAATAAGTTATCAACCTAGTCCAAACATACATTAATTACTTACATTTACCTTCTCTACCCATATTTGCACCAAAACGTTCCTCTTCATTGTATAAATACTTTTCTAACGTGTTCTGACACTTCTAACGGTGAGCTGAAACCTATCGTTCCGGAACGATGACATTCTAACGATACGATCGCTATGTAACGAGACGATAGATGTTACAAAATCGCCATCATACCCAAAATCGTTATGGGAACGATTATCGTAAGTTAACGATGCTCTAGCGAGATCGTTAAGAGTTACAAAATAGACCTCTTAATCTCAGAGAAGAATTCTTTGCTGTTTAAATGTTGTTTATTGTTCTTTTTGAAACTTTAACACTTATTGGGTTGTAGTTTAATACTAGTCATAGAAATTGCACATTTAAATGGAATTGAAGTAAATAACACACAAACACGTGGCGGAAGCGGAGTGCGCGGTTCCTTGTCGAGCAGCGGTCGCGCCATCTACACAAAGGACGCAAATTTAGAATAGAAGTCGGGGTACAGTATTTTTAAAATAAACCTAAATACTGCCGTTAAGATATCACAATCCTTAAAAAATAATAAAAGCCCGCTTCTACTTGTAAATCTTCTTTATTAAATTATATCACAGACATCATGCAAAACAAAAAAGATAATTAAGAGTAGACATCCCAAAATACATCAATTCGGAATGTAGATTTCTTCTAAGTGCACTTGGTGATTCACCTTGACACGTCTTTGGCCCTTAACATCAACCTCTTAGTTTATTCAAATAAGTCCTAATCTGTACATGATCTTCTGGAGAATGAGCAAACAACAAATGCAGATGCTTAAGCACCTGCAACTTGTACAAGATCTTCTGCTTCTGCGCCGAAATTCTCCACTCCCTCAACGTCCTTCCAATAATGGACAACGTCTCCATACGCAGCGACGCCAAACACTGAGCTTTCTCAGCTGCGAACTTCACGTCAATCGTAATTTTACGCCTCTAGTTGGCAACACTGAACACTCACCTTAGTTTGGCAACAAATGGACCACATGGTTTTTAGTTTAAGTACGGGCTCTACGTTCGTAAGGATAAAGCCGATGAGATTTGGCACCGTTATGGGGAGGTTTTTGGGAAAAGTCCGCGATTCGGATTTCCTACAACACAAAAAAAAATGGTGAAAATGTGTTACCAACCCATTCAACTAAAGAAACTAAACTGGTTTTAGTACCTACCCGTACGCTGGTAAAAACAATATTGTGGGGTAGCTCTCCATCGTGTACTCCCATGGTAATAAGTTCGACTCCCCGTCAATCCTGGCAAAAATAATATCATCCACTCCTACCAACAGTTTCGCTACTGTCAAAAACATATACCCAATCCCATTACAAAACGAACATTGTTTAGAATAATAGAACACTAGAACCACCTAGAAACGTCCGATCTACCAGACCTGCCAACATTGCAAAACCCTACCTTATTCCTCTGAAGAATAGTCGAAAGAAAATTCTCACTTGACAGCTCCATCAAGCAAAACTGCTCCCGTTTCGAGCAATTCGAATAAGGATAAACATGCTCAGACGCATTTATGTACACTTTCGACCGCAAAGACCGAGACAACGTCTTCTGAGTGAAGTTGTGCACGTATGACCGTAAATTCGCCGAACTTATGTTGGCAGCCATGACGTGATGCGTTTCCATCTACAACGCCAAATCATGATTAAAGTCCCTCAAGTAACCACGCCCTCTAACCTACCTTCTCATTAACCACAACCACCCCGCTTTTGTCTTCAGATTTAGACAAATCCAGGCCCAGCCTTTCGGCGAATTGAAAAAAGCGCAGACTGTCGATGGCCACAAACTTCAGGCTGGAGTTGGTGGCGCAGGCCAGACCTGTCACGTTGGCTCCTCCCTCGACGCCACGCCTTTCAAAAATGGGAGGAGCGTATTTCTCGGCCAATAAGAAATTATGGCACTCTTCTTCGCGTACGGCTTTCTGCAATTGATTAGGCGATAGCTTATCAGGTACTGAGACTGAAGTGTCACTTTTTGGGCACGGTGTATAGATAGGGGCGGAGCTTACGCAATTGCATATATCTCTGAAAGTCGTATTGGTCCAAATGTTCGAAAGGTTAGTTATGACGCCTCTGCGCGCAGGCGTTTGGCGATTCAAACATTTGTTCTTCAATTTATAATAGTTTTCTTTGTTTCCTATACCAAAAAAAAAAATAAAAAAAATACAATAAGAATTTAAATGAGTGTCCACAGCTCACTTGTTCGTTCCGCTGTAATTAGTTTAAGCCTAGTTGAAACGTACGTCTCAGTTTCACAGTTAAAGTACTCATGCGCAATCTCTCTCAACTAAAATAATACAATACAACTACGAGAATGTTAGTTTGATCAAATACCATATCGTAGTAGTCATTTTCTCTCACGAGAGGGTTTTTAGGAGTAAACAAAATCAGAGTAGGTCCTGGCTGCATGAAAGTGGCAAGAGTTACGCTTTTCATGCCTGTTGGGGTGACCCAACCCGTTAAATGGTGGGAGTTCATCACGATCCATTGAGCTATCGAGTCAGGACTCCATTCTCCGTCATATTTCTGTAAACTAGGCCTAAGAAACACAGCACACTCTATAGAAAGCAACTCACAATCGTACCATTCCAGTTATGTAAAAATATGGAACCCTCGTCGTCGTACTTTTGCGGAAAAACTGCAAAAACTGTGTCCCTAAAGGGATCTCGTTCTAGGAACCTTAAAGCAGTCGCATAGAAAACAGCATAGTCGTAACTTCCGGGTAGGACGTTTATGTTAGCTGATACGACGATCTGAAAGGGCATAAATGCAATTTGTTGTAGATTTTTCGGTATTTGTTTACTGGGTGTTCGTGGATTGTTAAATTAGAGGTAAAGAGCATGTTATGTGGATGTTTCAAGTGAGTTTGTCATAATGAACTTGTGGAGACGGTATCATTTTTTAGCAAACACAAGAAAAATGAAAAAAAAAACAACAAAAAGGGGACGAAAAAGGCCATAAAAAAGGGATACAAAAGTAAAACAAAAGGTGGCGAAAAAGTTCACAAAAAAAACGAAAAAGCAATAAAAACAGGGTGTGGGGAACAAAAAAATTGAAAAAAACAAAAAAAAACACGACCAAAAAAAAGGTGAAACAAAAAGCGACAAAAAAAACAAAAAAGTGACAAAATTCCATAAAAATAAGCGTTAAAAAATGAACAAAAACGATTTTAAAAAAGTGACAAACACAAAATGTCAACTCAAAAAAAAAAAAAAAACATTATGAAAAAAAAAGAGAAAAATAAACTAGAAAAAAAGTTTAAAAAAACAACTAAAATGGGTCGAAGAAAAGGGACAAAACAGGGTGACTAATAAACGACAAAAAAAGCGAAGAACCGATAAAAAAGTGCACAAAAAGACGATTAAAAAATCACAAAAATGGTGAAAGGTGGGGAAAAACATCGAAAAAAAGCACAAACAAACGACGACAAAAGTGAAAAAAAGGCAACAAAAAAGTTCACAAAAAAGAAAAAACCCGTCAAAATTGGTCAAAAAGGACGAAAAAGTCCATAACGGAAGCGTCAAAACGAAAGCAAAAAAAGCCACAAAAGAGTCCAAAAGAAGTAGTGCAAAAAAACAAAAAAAAAAGGAAAAAATTATTTAAAAATTGGACTAAAACAAGGGGTCATAAAAAAACGAAGAGAAAAATGCAACAAAAAAATCGATGAAAAAAAAAGCAAAAAATAAACTAGAAAAAAAAACGACGAAAAGCAGGGTGACAAACAAACGGCAAGCAAAAGCAAAGAAACGATAAAAAGTGCACAAAACAAAAAAAACGATCAAAAAAATCACAAAAATGGTGAAAGTTGGAAAAAATACCAACAAAACGGCAAACGGCGACAAAAGTAAAAAAAATCAAAAAAGACCGAAAAGTGAAAAATAAAGCAAAAAAAGATAACAAAAGTGACAATAAAACGACAAAAAAAGGCGAGACACGCTAAAAATATGCTAAAAAAATGACAAAAAAGGGCAAAAAGCAACGAATAAGTCCATAAAAGGAAGCGTCAAAAGTAAGGCGAAAAAGTCACAAAAGATTCCATAAAAAATAGCGTCAAAAAAAGGGCGAAAAAAGCAACAAAGAAAATTAAAAAAACAATAAAAAAAAGGTTACAAAACCAAGGGGTCACAAAAAAACGGTAAAAAAAAGGTGATCAAAAAAAAAGTTTAAAAATACGGCAAAAAAAACAAAAACGCCCTAAAAAAGGAAGCAAGAAAAAAAGACGCAAAAGAGAAAAACAAATTAGAAGACAGTTGGCGAGAAAAACGATTATAAAAAACGAAAAACGGAACCAAAAAGGGGCGAAAAAGGAGACGAAAAAAGGTGAAAAAACGATTAAAACAACGGTTAAAACGTGGGAAAAACGACCAAAAATCAAAAAACAATAAAATATTTACAAAAAGAAACAAAGAAGTGACAAAAAAATAAGAAAAAACAAGACGACAAATACAAAAAACAATAAAAAAAATCCTACAGAAAAACGAAAGAAAGGCGATAATAAAGGCAAAAAATAAGCGACAAAGAAAGATGGAAAAACGACAAAAAAGGGGACCAAAAAAAGGTAAAAAGAAGCGTTAAAATAAAAGCGAAAAAGACGACAAAAAGTGCACAGAAAAAAAACTATTCCAAAAAAAAAGCGGCAAAAAAGATTAAAAACAATAGGCTAAAAAAATGTCTAAAAATAAAGGACAAAAAAAAAAGAAAGAACGACCAAAAACAGAAAACGAGAAAAAAAGTCGGAAAGTAGCAAAAAAGCGAAGAAGGCAACAAAGAAACTAAAAAAAAATTTTTTAAAGCGACAAAAACAAGGAGTAACAAAAAAAATAAAGAAAGAAAGGCGTCCAAAAAAGCTACAAAATACGGCAAAAAAAAAACAAAAAGGCAACAAAGAACTCAATACAACTTAAAAAAGGAAGCAAAAAAGGCGTCACAGAGCAAAACAAACTAGAAAAAAAGGCGAAAAAACGATCCTAAAAGACGAAAAAAAGGAATGAAAAATGGGACGAAAAAGAGACAAAAATATACAAGAAAAAAAAAACGAAAAGCCGAAAAAAAATGGTGGAAATGTTGGGAAAAAACAACCAAAACACCAAAAAACGATAAAAAATGAACAAAAAAAGGCCCAAAAAGTGACAAAAAAAAAGAAAAAACCCAAGACGACAAATACAAAAAACAACAAAATAATCCTACAGGAAAAAACAGAGGAAAGAAAGACTACAAGAAAGGCAAAAAATAAGCGACAAAGAAAGGTGGAAAAAACGACTAAAAAGGAGGCCAAAGCAACAAAAAGTTCATAAAAAGAAGCGTTAAAATAAAAGCAAAAAGGGCACAAACAAAAAACCTGTTAAAAAAAGCGACAAAAAAAGGTATTAAAGACAAGTGGCCACAAAAAGGATCGAAAAATAAATGACCAAAAAAAGGGGCAAACAAAAAAATGTCAAAAAAAATTTTCAAAAAAAAACAACAAAGACAATTAAAAAAGAAAAAAGCATTGCGAAACAAACAAGAAAAAGGGCGAAAAAAGGATTATAAAAGACGAAAAAGGGGCAAAAAAAAAGGAAAAAAACACGAGAAATGCAAAAAAAACAACAAAAAAAATCCTAGAGAAAAAAAATAAGAAAGGCGACAACAAAGACAAAAAATAAGCGCCAAAGAAAGGTGGAAATAAAACGACCAAAAGGGAGGCCAGAAAGCTATAACAAGTTCAGGGGCCTAAAAAGGTGATAAGAAAAGGAAAAATAACAAGACGACAAATGCAAAAAACAACAAAACAAATCTTATAGAAAAAAAAGAAGAAAGGCGCCAAGGGCAAAAAATAAGCGACAAACAGAGCTGAAAAAAAACGACCAAAAGGGGGGCCAAAAAGCAACAAAATGTCCATAAAAAGCGTTAAAATAAAACCGAAAAAGGCGACAAAAACTACACAGAAAAAAACTATTTAAAAAAAAGGCGACAAAAAAAGGTAAAAAAACAAGGGGCCACAAAAGGGGCGGAAAATAAACGACGAAAAAAACGACCAAAAAAACGACAAAAAAAAAGACAAAAAAGAAGGTGGGGAAAAACGACCAAAAAAAGGGAAACAAAAAAGTCCACAAAAAAAGTTGGAAAGTGACAAAAAAAGGGCGGAAAAATGCAAAAAATAGTAAAAAGCCAATACAACAAGAAAAAGTTCAGTAAAAACAAGGAAGAAGAAAAAAAGCGACAAATAAACAAAAAAAAAAGGCGAAAAAACAACCAATAACGCGAAAAAAGTTCACAAAAAAAGGCGAAAAGAAAGACGATAAATTACAAAAAAAATTTAAAAAGCAACAAAAATAACCCACAAAAAGAATTGATAAACACGGCGACAAAAAGGGGTGCAAATTTAATGACAACAAAGTCCATAAAAAGAAGCGTGAGGAAAGGCGAAAAAAGCGGCAAAAAAACTCCACAAACAACAATCTAAGAAAAAAAGAGGTGTCAAAAAAAAGGTGAAAAAAATGACGCCACAAAGAAACGAAAAAATGGCGACAAAAAAAGATTTAAAATAGCACAAAAAACAAAAAAAGGTAATAATATATAAGTCAACAAAAATGACAATAAAGGCGACAAAATAAGAGCGAAAAATAAGAGGTGAAAAAAGTACTTTAAAAAAAGGATGGAAAAAGCGACAAAATAAAGTGTGAAGAAGACAACGAAGAAAGGGGAGACAAAAGTGCACACACACAGAAAAAGACAAAAAAGGACGATTAAAGGAGAGAACAAAAAAATAAACGAAAAAAATTAAACCTTAACAAAGCACCAAAAAACAGCCAAAAAAGCGACCAAAAAAAAAGACAACTAAAAAAAAAGGGGAAAAGAACAAAAATTATTATAAGGACGGAAGAAGTAGAATGAATAACAAAAAAGACGAAAAAGCATAGAATGAGGAGCGGAAAAGGGTGGCAGTGTGAACAATTTCGAAGAGAGAGAGGAGAGATGTCAGAAGAGAAAGGAAAGCAGGTAAGGAAAGAGAAGAGAAGGAAAGAAACATAGAGAGGAGTGGAAGGGTGACGCTAGAAATAGGAAAGTAGAGAGAACCGAGAGGGAAGAAGAAAATGAGGAACGTGAAAATGCGATAGGAAAGACACAAGAGATCGAAAAGAGGAGATGAAAGCTAGATGACTAGAGAAAAACGTCGTTAAGGATAAGAGATAACAATTGTAAAGGTATAAGAAGGCAACAGGCGAAAAGGAGACGCAAAGACGATGGAAGAAGATTGTGAGAGCATAGGAAAAGGAGCACAGAGAGGACAAGAAGGAAAAGAGGCGAAACGTTAAAAATATGAAATAAATAACATGGAGAGATACAGGGAGGTGGGGACCAGGCGAAGAAAATGAAAGAAGAGAAGAAATGAGAGAAGTAAGTACCAAGAGAAGGAGAAGACTACAAGAAAGTTATGGAGAAAGAAAGAAGCAAACCCAAAGAAAAGGTAACTGAACGACGTGTTAAGAAGAAACTATCATGTGAAAGAACAAAGAAGAGATAAAAGAATATACATAAGAGAAAACAAAAATTGAAGAAAAACAAATAAAAATTGAAAAAAAATAGCCATTTTTAGATCCATGGAAGTCAAATGGAGTCATCATTTTTTAAATCCTATGTAAAAAAAATGCCATTTAAAGATTGTACTTAATACCTTCATAATAATTATTACAAACCAAGGCAAGAATTTTGTCAGTAATTAAAACACAAACACATTTAACAAAATAAACACTCCAAATATTGAAACAAAACCTTGAAATCTGATCAGTAAATAATAATTATAACAAATTTTAAAATATTTATGAACAAAAATGCAACAAAATTTTCTGATAAGCAACAAAAAACTACCCACATGGACTGATGACAATTTTTATAAACTGTGGCTCACTTCCACAATGAACCTTCGGCTTCTAATTTTGTTGAAACATCATGTACTTAACAACATAATATGCCATAAAATCATTACCTACTTAATTTACCTCTCACTCTACTTACATTATGTTTGCCCATGAGATCATCCAGCTTATCCGGCCTCACCAAAGGCTGACACATATTCAACAAAAACCTAATCATATGAAAAGCCTCCAGAGGCCCATTATACTGGATCCCCCTCCCGTGCGTAGGATACGCAATCAACACAGGCCACTTGTACACCTTACTATACTGTCTCTTGCATTCGCTGCCCGGCTGCCAGCAATTAACCGCCGCAAAAGCCACCTTCTCATGCAAATACTTGGCCGCCAGCTCCAGCTCCCTCCGCGCATTCTGGCTCTCCGCGTCCCACGGGGCGTAAAACATCACGAACGCCAAATCCGAAGCCCGAGCTTCCTCTATCGCCGCCGTGATCTGCCCCTTGTACCAGTCAGTGACGTGCGAGTCCCTCGGAAAGAACGGATAGGCGGCGGGACTCTTGCTCACTTTCGGGGGCCTCCTAACAAACTTGTTATTGAGGAATTCGCCAAAATGACAGACTTACTCGTTGGTTAGGGCTGCGTACGCCAGAGCTACCAAAGCCATGATGCTCAGTTCTTTGAGTAAACTTAACATCTTCAGCACGAGAGTGGGCCGGGGTGCGTCTGGCTCGGGTCCGTCGGTGTCACTGTCTGAGTCTGTACAGACAGCAGAGGGGTCATTATTGTCGGTGGTCCCTGGGTCAGGTGTCGGCGAGGTATTAAGGTCTGGCTCTTGTAGTGGAGATGACATACCCAGATGACCTCATACCATTGACCCTTGCTTTATTTTACGTGAACTCGGTGCTATTTCGGGCGCGGGCTTAGTTGAGATAAGAAGAAATTTGGAATTTTGACATCGTGTCACACACGTCAGCTGTCACGGAGTGGCAGTTGGTGTCAACGTCAAGCAGTCACTCAAAATGACGGAGGTAGAGGGCGCCACTTAGAAGTTTAGTCATGGCCGACTTCAGTAATAAAATGTGTCAATCGTTTCAGTTTTCCTTAAGTTTTCTATAAAAAAATTTGTTGTCGCGTAATCCATGAGTACGTACGCATACGCCACCTACGGCAATCTCTTGAACTAAATTGTCACTACTGTCAGAAATTTTCTTGACAATTTTCAAATCCAAAATACTTTTGGGCTTGAATGATTATCGTTGTTAATGAAACTAGGGATTAATATGGGAAGAAAGTGTTTTATTTGTGGTAATACACAGAATCCATTTTTTGAATTTCCGGCGGAAGTCGATCTTAGAAACAAATGGTTTGAATCACTTTCAAAATTTTGTGGTACTTCATAAAACGAGTTCCTCAAAAAATATTTTATTAGAATTATTTTAGATCTGACCAATGTAAACGATCGCACTGTTTTGTGTTCCAAACATTTTGTAAAAGAATGTTTTGTTAAAGGCACAAAAAGAATTCGCCTGAATAAACAAGCGGTTCCGTTTATATTCGTATGTATTTAAAAATCTAAGTACCTCACATAATCTACAATATGTTTCTTCTAATTCCAGAATGATGCTGATCCTGACATTTCTAGAACCCAACCAACGAATCTTTTTTTAGAAGACATTCATCAAAATTCCGTTTCTTCATTCCAAATTGGTAATAGGGAAACTAATATTTGCACATGTTCAAAGGATAAACAAGAACTTAAAGATCTCAGGTACCACAACAAAGTTTTAAAGCAACAATTGAATAGAATGAAACGAAAGAATTCTGAATGCTTATCAAAAATAAGAACTTTAGAAGAAAAAGTTAAAAATTTGGAAACTTTAAAAATAAAAGTCAATATTTCTTTTGAACGTGATAAAAAATCACCATAAAAAATAGGTACGACCTAGGTGGTCAGAAACATCTATTTGGCTGTGGATTGTCTGGAGGTTTTGTGGTGCAAGGACTGAGTACTAGACACATAATACCAGCAGGATACTTTTTCTACTCATTGTTAACTCAGAACTTATATTTATTAATGAAAACATTTTACAATTTCTGACAAACTGTGGCCACATTGTGATAGATTTGTTACAGACAATATTTCAACAAATGTGTCCCTTTTTAAAGAAAATTGGAAATGGATCACTAATAAAGTGATATGTAATAATATTTCATATTGATTCATATTAATATTTGGTTCATTGTGACGAATGTTTAACACCTTTATTATGTACAAGCATTCCTGGTCAGTTGCTACAATTGATTGCCATTCATACTTATTGTGTTTTGTGATAAAGCTAAATAAAATCATTAATATCTGGATTGAATCGCTTTTTTTTATCCTTCGAGTAAAATTTGTTGTCAATGTCAGTTTCAAATTGACAATTAATTTGACAGAAATAACCAGAAATATGTAAAAGACTCGATACAATCTGTCTCTTTTAGGATTTCCATAGACTTGTAAAACCGCAACAACAATACTTCTCAAACGTTACTATTTTTATCTCACTTTCTCTCATTGCGGTTGAGACGGTACGTATTACCTAGCATTTTACGGACAGCCCTAAAAATCTAACGGAACGTTCGTACAAAGCAGAAGTTCTCAAACAAAAAATACTTGGAAAGGAGATGTTTAATGGAACAAATGAAATCTAAATTTTAAGTTAAATGTCATTCACAATGGATTGAGCTTTTCAAGGTCAAATAATTTAATTTTTTGGCGTTGTAATGTTGTCTTGAAAATTTTGTTATCGTGTAATGTCACTAAAGTACGGAAATAGTTCTTGCAATATTTTGCCTTTTTTTCTTAATACACATAGTATTATTTGGACAACACGAGACTTAAAAACATGTTTTTAATTTCTTGTAAAGAAATCAGTATTTTACAGTTAGGCTTCGTCCCCTTGGTTCACGGTGAATAAAAAAAATCATCAGAATTGAGATAGGGCGGGTGGGCGGGCTGACATTTTGCCTTTTTGTTTCAACATGTGTAGACTTATTTTCACAACATAAAACTTAAAACATGTTTAAAATGGAAAATTTGTATAAAGAAATAACGATTTTGTAATTAGGCTCCGACCCATAATTGCAAAATTCATATTTCCTTGCAAAAATGTACCATTTTAACCATGTTCGAAGTTTCTTGTTGTGAAAAGATGGTTATGTATATTAAAAAAAAAGGCAAAGTATAAGCCCCGCCCGCCCACCCTATTCCAATTCTGATGATTTTTTTTATTCGTCGTAAACCGAGGGACGGAGGTTAATTGTAAAATCCTTACTTTTCTACCAGAAATTACCTGTGAAATTGTTCGTAAGTAATTGTGTTATACAAAGAAAACTAGATGTAGTAATTAAAAAAGAAAACCAAAAGGGAAGCCCCACCCATCCGTCTCGATCTCAATCGTGACGAATTTTTCATTGGTTGTCAGACCGGCGGGCGGAGCGTAATTGCAAAATCGATATTTCCCTATACAAATTTATCATTTTACACATGTTTTAAGTGTGTTGTTGTGCAAAAATGATTACACATATTAAGAAGAAAAGACAACCTCAGTAATGGAACTTCAGTAGTTTTACATTTGTAACAGTGACAGTTAGGTTGCTGCCAACTTACATGTCAACTGTCAAGAAATCCCAATCTCTCACCGGAACTACTATAATATTGTAACGAGCGATAAATTTATTTATTTTTGGAGATGTTAGTATGAATCAGAACAATCGTCCTTGTCGTAAAAATCAAGGTTGTCCTTGTGAATTTTCGCGCTGAAATTAATTAACAGCTGCGCGAAATCACACTTGAATAATCTGAATTTGAAAAAAAAAAATCAATCACGAAAAAAATCGTTAAACATAGGCAACCTGGTGCACGGAAGCGCTTGCTTGGTAGTCGGGCAATTAATAGCGCTTAGGGGTTAGTTCTGCATGATTATTGAGTTAGGTGGCGGCTCGGTATCGCTAGGGACTTTTTAGTTAGAGGGTTGGTAGAGACAGAGAAGCTGCATGGCGTAGCGTCATTCTAAATGTGATTGTGTGAGTGTAAACACGTGATAAGAGCTAGGTTTAAATTAGTTGTGCTGTAAATTTGTTTTATTGTTTGTAAATTCACCAATCAAGTTAGTTTTTCTTAATCGTGAATTAGTGCAAACACAATTTAAATAAACCACTTGCTAGAAGATTTCATGAAATTCACTTGGTCAGGAAAACACCTTATTGTTTAATTACGAATAAGTTTCTGGATGCATATTCGTAAGTGTTACATTATAACACTTCTAAATTCTTCACACAAGATTGCTAATAGTTCATCCTTATTATCGTCGTTATCGTGACTACATCACTGGGGCATGTCCTCGCAACGCTATAGATTGATTACTTCATCGAGGCATGCCCTCACAACGCTAATTAATTGATTACTTCATCGAGATGCTTTTTCCCTTGGAGCGATTAATGGATATTTTTATGTTTGTTTATTATGTGTTTTGTTGGGGTAACCAGTTCGGGATATTTTAAACTCTCAAAGTAAATTGTTTTTTGAAGTAACCAATCACTTAGATCATGATATAATTTGGCATATTAATGTAAACTCTTTGTTTGAACTGTTGATAAAGTGTGGAAAATATTAATCTCATGTAAATTTTGTTAACTTTGCAATTTTCCACCTCATGCAATATTTCTCAATCTCACAGTTTTAACTTCAGTAAATTTCCTTTGTTGTATAATTTTAATTGAACGTAAATTTCTTGCTCTACAGTTTTAACCTCACATAATTTTTATTTGCACAAATTTATTTCACACCAGATCTTTTGTTTTTATAAATCTGTGCTAGACTAAGTGAGTTTTTTTGGTACATATTTAGATGATTTTACATATTTTGTTTAACTAAGAATTAACTCTTTATTTGTGTTGAGAAAAAAATAAACAATTAAAATAATCGAAAAATCGAGAAATCTAATAATCGTAAAACCGAAACCTTCAAAAATCGAAAATCGAAGAACTGAAAATCGAAAAAATGTAAAATTTAAAAATCGAATAATGAAAAATCGGGAAATCAAAAGTCCCAAATTTAAAAAATCGGATAACTGAAAAATCTAAACATCGAAAAACTGGAAAATCGAAAAACTGAGAAATCAAAAATCAAAAGATCAAAAAATCGTGAAGTCGAAAAGTTGAACAATTGAGAAACCGAAATAGGTCAAAATCGAAAGGTTAAAAATTAAATAATTTATAAATTGAGAAATTGACAATCAAAATATCGAAAAATCCAAATCTCCTTAAATCGAGAAATCAAAAATCTTAAAATTTCCAAAATTGAAAAATTGAGAGATTGAAAGATCCAAAGAACGAGAAATCGAAAAGTGATGAAGTCGAAAAATCGAAAAATAGAGAAATCGACAAACAAAAGTTAAAAGTTGAAAAATTGGAAAAGCGGAAAAATCAAAAAACGAAAACCGAAATAGACCAAAATAGAAAATTGAAAAAATGATAAATCGAAAATTTGAAAAACAGAACATCTAAAACCAGGAAGTCGAAAAATCGAAAGATTAAGAAATATTGAATAATTAAAATACCAAGAGACTGAAAAATCTAAAATTTAAAAATCCAAAAATTGAAAAATCGAAAAAGTAAAAAGGTAGACACATCGAAAAATCCAGAGGTCAAAAATAGAAAAGCCGAAGAATTGAAATATTGAAAAATCCTGAAACTGAAATATCTAAAAACTGAAAAATCGAAAAATCAAAAAAGTGAAGTCGAAAAATAGAAAACCTTAAAAAATCGAAAAATTGAAAAATCAGAAACCTGAAAAATCATAAAATTAAAGAATTGAAGAACAGGAAAATCGAAACACTCGAAGGTCAAGAAATGGGAAAATCAAAACATCGATTAATTGAAAAATCGAAAAACTGAGAGTTTATAAAAGTCAAATTTGGAAAATTAAAAAATCGAAAATTTCACAAAATGACAATTGAAAAACAGAAAATCTAAAATTTAATCGAAGAATCGAAATATTGAAAAATCCCAAAACTGAAATATCGAAAAACTGAAAAATGAAAGAAAAACTAAAAATGGGAAACTAAATCGGGAAATCAAAACATTGAAAAATCAAAAAATTTAAAACGACAATTGAAAACAGAAAATCTAAAACCGGGAAATCGAGAACCCGAAAGATTAAGCAATCGAAAAAGTAAAAAAATCGACACATCGAAAACTCCAGAAACCAAAAATCGAAAAGTAGAAGAATAAAAATATTGAAAAATTCCAAAACTGAAAAATGGAAAACCTGGAAAATCTGAAAACTGAAATATCCATAAACTGAGACCCTAAAAAGTCGAAAAATTGAGCAATAAAAAAATCCAAAAAATGAAGCCGAAAAATTGAAACCTTAAAAAAAATCTCAAAAACCTGAAAAATTGAAGAATTGAAGAACAGGAAAATCGAAACTTTCGAAAGTCAAGAAATGTGAAAATCAAAACATCGATTAATTGAAAAATCGAAAATTTTAAAAACGACAATTGAAAAACAGGAAATCTAAAACCGGCAAATCGAAAAATCTATTGATTAAGAAATCAAAACATTTGAAAAATTCGAAAACTTGAAAAACTGAAATATCGAAGAACTGAAATGAAAAATCGAGAAAAAGAAAAATCTAAAATTTTAAATATTGAAAAATTATAATATCAAAAAACCGATAAATCTAAAATTTAAAAATTAAAAAATTGAAAAAACGACAATTGAAAAACAGAAAATCTAAAACCGGGAAGTCAAAAAATCGAAAGATTAAGAAATCGAAACATTTGAAAAATTGAAATGTGGAAGAGCTGAAATGAAAAATCGAGAAATCTAAAATTTAAAAATCGAAAAAGGAAAAATTCGACACATCGAAAAATCCAGAAGTCAAAAATGGAAAAGTCGAAGAATCGAAATATTGAAAAATCCCAAAACTGAAATATCGAAAAACTGAAAAATGAAAAAAATCTAAAAATGGGAAACTAAATCGGGAAATCAAAACATTGAAAAATCGAAAAATTTAAAACGACAATTGAAAACAGAAAATCTAAAACCGGGAAGTCGAAAAATCGAAAGATTAAGCAATCAAAAAATTGAAAAATCGAAAAAGTAAAAAAATCGACACCTCAAAAACTCCAAAAGCCAAAAATCGAAAAGTCGAAGAATCAAAATATTGAAAAATCCCAAAACTGAAATATCGAAAAACTAAAAAAGGGAAAACCTAAAAAATCCGAAAACTGAAATATCCAAGAGCTGAAAATATAAAAAGTCGAAAAATTAAGCAATAGAAAAATCCAAAAAGTGAAGTCGAAAAATTGAAA